ATGACCGTATGCATCAGAAATGCATACGGTCGAACGTTGCTACGGAGGAAATTTTTGACTCCTATTTTGTGAATTTATGTGGTGACGCCAGTATACAGATTCTACTTCAGATCATTTTAGGAGATTTTTAGATGCTGTTAAGGAATTTTGTTTGACTGAAGACATGTTAATTCGTAAATAAGGTAAATGGATATTTCCTTTGTGTAGTGCAAAGAGGGAATTTCCTTTTTCATGTTATTTCATTGTTTGATTTAAAATGTAGTTTATTGAAATTATATATTTTTTTGCTGGCTGCTCCTTTGACTTTTTAAGTGAATATAGGTTGATGTATACATGGACAAAGTTTAGGGAAAGCGCAGAGCCTAGTTTGTGCAATTCTTTGAATTTGTTTAAGTGAAAATAAGTCGATATGTACATGGACAAAGTCAAGGGAGTGCGCGATGCCATTTTTGTGCAATTCTGTGATATTTTTTTTAAGTGAAAATAGGCTGATGTGTACATGGATACCGCGTTTGTGCAGTTCTTTGTCTTGTTATTTTGACTTTGTGTAGTGGTGACTTTTTGGCCCAAAAATCACCGCCACACAAGCCAAAATAACAAATCAAAGATTTGCACAAACTCGGTGTCTATATGCCGCCAAAAACTGCCAAGTTTCGTCAAGGGATACCCATGTTCTTTGTAATCAGCATTGCAGTGAAGTACATGATGTCACCTTTCTTTCAAGATCTTTTTATTTATCAGATGCTGTAAGGTTATGTTTGTTAAAATTTTTGTATAATTTAGAAATTTAATTTCAATATCACTTCAGACTGTATAGATGCTAACAGTGAAAGATTAAACCTTGTAAGATATTTTCTTGCTCCTTACTGCATGCTTTGCGATATAATCGGAAAGCACATCTGTCTAGCATTGGAAGATCTATAGTTTGAATCCTAGCTGGGTCTTAGCAGATTATCTCACTTTTCCTGATTCTGAAAATCTCTAAAAAAGACTACAAGTGGTGCCTGACCCTAAAAAGGTAATGGACAATAATTTTTCATTACCAGCATTTGGCATTTTTGGAGAGAATGTAAGGTTATTTTCTTTCTCTGTACCGTGTGCCTTAATGGTGTAGTTGGAATGCACGTCTCCCAGTGTTAGGTCTAGAGTTCAAATCTGGCTGAGGCAGTGCCAGATTTACGTATAAGCTGCACAAGCTGTAGCTTAGGCTCCCCACTTTCTTAGAGCTACCTCTAACAATTTTACCATATCTCATATAAAAAAATTGACTCATTTCCCTCACAAAGGGCCCCATATCTCGAATAGCTTAGGATATCGTCAAATCTGAATCCGGTCCTGGGCTTAGAGCGTAGTGGGTTATCTCACCCGACTTCAAACAATTATGGAAAAGACTCTACACCTTTAGGTTTAGAAATCTGTCATTGTTAATACATGCTAAAGAAATTAAATGCTCTCTGAAAAATTGGCAGAAGGAAATACTTTATGTTAAAAATTCTAAAAGAATATTTGAAATATTGTTTTCCAGTTTATTTTATGATCCAGTTTATTTGAAGTTAAAAATCCTACAATTATTAGTATCATCATTGAGGAAGGATATGTGTGGAAAATTCATCATTAAATAAAAAATAAAGTGTGCATCACATATATATAATTTCTCTTTGTAGATTAATTTGTAGTCATAAATGTGTATTTGTTCATGATTTCAAGACAATTGGGTTTGGAAAAGGGGCGCAAAAGTAATTTTAATATTTGATTTTTACAAACAAGTAATAAAACTATGTTAAAAAAACACTTTGCATAGCAATGGAGAATGTGGCACGCAGAACAAACGAATTCTCTTTTATATATAGTGCCTGAAAATTAAAAAATATATAAATAAATAAACTTGAAAGTACTGATGTATACTCCTGTCTTTCACATTAACATCAGTGTGAAATTAAACAAATATTTTAATGATATCTGAAAGTCTTAAACACTGCTTCTGTAGTAAATTTTGCTAATCCTTTTTTTGCAATCTAATATAATCAAATATGCACATTAAAATGGGAAAATAGTAGTATGCCATATTTAACAACTAATAATTTTTAATGTAAAAGTTTTTTTTTTTTTAAGATACTATCAATATAAGAAGAAAAACTGATAATAAAAAGGAATAAACTTTAAATAAATAAGTTACAGAGAGAAATTTTATGTAAAATCTATTGCGAAAAAAGTATGCATATATAATATTTTTAGGTAAAAGTATATTTTAGGATACCCCTTGGCGAAACTTGGCGATTTTTGGCGGTACATGGATACTGAGTTTGTGCAATGCTTTGACTATTTTGGCCTGTGTAGCGGCGATTTTGGTGCTTAAAAATTGCCGCTACGCAAGCCAAAATAAGAAGTTAAAGAATCGCACAAAATCGGTATCCATGTACACATCGACCTATTTTCACATAAAAAAAAAATTTCCGCGAATTGCACAAAAATGGCATTGTGCACTCCCTTTATCCATGTATACATCGACCTATTTTCACATAAAAAAAAAATCCCCAAATTGCACAAACTATGCTTTACGCACTTCCTTGAGTTTGTCCATGTACACATCGATACATTTTCATTTAAAAAGTCAAAGGAGCACCCAATTCTACAGTAGAGGCAAACAAAAAATACATAATCTCAATAAGCTACATTTTAAACCAAACATAAAATAACACAAAAAGGAAAACCTGTTATGTATTTTAGCACTACACAAAGCAAAAATCCCCTTATCTTATTTAGAAATTTGTTTGTCTTCAGTCTGTGGCACACAAAATTCCTTAACAGCATCCAAAAACTTCCCAAAATTATCTGAACTGCAACCCATATATCCGCGCCGCTACAGAAATTCACAAAAATAAAAGTCAAAATATATATTATGTAGTTTCGGACTATGGCTACTAAGTAAACCTTCATTTACACAATTAATTCACTTTTCCCCTTTCGTTCCAAATCGTACAGAAACTTTAAATTGATTCAGCCATTGTAATGTCTAAGCAATGTGCTTCTTAAGCAACACACACCACAAAAGCCTTTGAAAACATGCCATGATTCAAAATTTCCCAGAATAATGCAAACGATTACATCATAATAGGGTTTTCATAATGTTCAACTACTCAGGTTATCATAAATGATACAACAACTTGGTGAAAAACGAAACAACTTGGCGATAAATGAAACAACAACTTCGCGATAATACGAGGGGTACCTTAAAGTCACATCTACCCTATTTTTAATATTAATATTAGAAATGAACTTTTTAAAGAAATGCTGAGAAAATATTTATACAATGGAAAAATTTATGAATGGTGTTTAAAAATAATTCTAAATGCCAACTAATTCTAAGTTCTGTTAATTTATAAGCTAATATTTTGGAGAGGGCGGCAGGGATATGTGTATGGTGAAGCAAATATGATTTAAATATTAAGAAGTGAACACTAATCAAAAATAAAATGCTATGGGAAGGAATATAGAATAATAATGTTATGTACGATAAATTTAAGAAAGTCAATAGTTAAAATGAAATACTTGGAAAGGCTATGCATGAATGGCAAGTCTTATTTCTTTACAAATTATTTTTTGCTGCAAAAAAGATTGAACTATAAATTTTAATATTTCAAAATATATGTGAAAGAAGGGAATTATTTTTGTATATCATTATATGAACTTATTGAAATATTAGATTTTTTTCAAGCCAGGGAACATGATAAATCATCAGAGCGCTTGCTCGGATTGGAACCAAAGATCTTCCAACTGCGAGCTGGAAATGTCCATGACATATTTATACCATAGAGCATAAGGGAATGTGTTAAAATTGTTATTAAGTCATGTCACATATGAAAAATGAAACTTCTCTTTGTGTTAAAATTACTATAAGGTATTTCTCCCGCTTACCTAGTGTGCCGTCGTGGTGTAGTGGTTCTGCACGCTGGGTCGCATTCCAGAGGTCTGCAGTTGGATTCCCGGCAAAGGCGATTGATAATTTTTTATTTCTCTTGCTTCCAAACAAAACCTAATGTCTCTACAGTGGCGCCCGGACTAAAAAGGGTGTTGGATGAGGATTCTCCACACCCAGGATTTGGCAATTGTGTCCCCTAAAAACCCAGTTCCCCTTTAAAAAGGGGAGTATATAAGGTATCTCTTCCGCTTTCCTAGCGTGCCTTCTTGTTTTAAAAGAGGGCAAAGAGTTTGTTTATAATATGCAAAAATTTCCGAACTTTATGATAGGTACACTGTTGGATGTTTAAATTTTAAAATATAGATATACAATGGTTAAAAAAATACATATTATCCTGTGTAGTGGAGGTCATGCAAATCATTCCTGCAGAATTCTGAAAGAACTGAAATCTCTTGTTTAATAAACAATTGGCATTCAATCTGCTTCATTTATGTGTTTTATAAAATGGCTTTCATCAGTTTCTGCTATTTTGTTAAGCTTTCCAGTTCTACAGAAAGCTGTGTTTAGAATGCTATGAGTGCAAACGTCTGCAAGTAATTATTACAATCTGTTACTGTTTTGTTAGCTAAATTCAGCTGAACGTATTGTGTCTGTTAATTACACACTTTTTTTTATGGTAGAATCTCATAATTTTGAAAATAATCCACTGCTTGCTGTATATGAATAATTTTGAAAATAATTCACTGCTTGCTGTATATGAACATATTGTGTCTGTTAAATACACTTTTTTTTTATGGTAGAATCTCATAATTTTGAAAATAATCCACTGCTTGCTGTATAAGGCAGATCCCAAATTTTAATCATTTTATTCAAAACATAACAAAAATACAGCAATAATTGGTAAACTGGTAACTCTTAAATTAAATAATTAAGATTTTATTTTTACAATCTGGGCATAAGTCAAAACAGGCTTTCAAGTAGAAATTGTTTGCTTGTCTTTAAAAAGTATGTGGCATGAACTTTATGTGTGTATTTTCATTTCTGCAAAATTACTTAATTGTTAATAATTAATGATTTTTAGTTGAACAACACATTAAGGAAATAGAGAAAACAGCAGATTTCTATAAACTTCAGTTGCAAGAAGAAAAAAGGGAAATAGAAGACACACAGAAAAAATTCTCAAATTTATTACATGCTTTTGCTAGAAAGGTAGATTATTTCATTACTAAAATCTGATGTGTGTTTCTATTTTTATAAAGTATTTGGTCTTCTACATGTTGGTAATCTTTTGATCTTCATTGTAATTTTATTTTCTGCACCTTATTTAACGATTTTCAAATAATAAAAATAAATCGAACATTTATTGGTACTTTTCCCGTTTTGCCGGCGCAGGCGATAAACTTGCCAATAATATTAAAACTGATCCCAAACAGAATATCCTCATTGGTAACCTTTTACGCCTCATTTTCAAAACAAGCAGCAGCCATTACTCTTATCAGATTGATTGTTTCTTTTAATACTGGCATACAATTACATAGAATTTTTACCAGATAGTTCAATTTTATGCCCTAAGGCCATTTGCGGTAATTAAATCAGTTAGGATGCAATCACACCACTCACCCGAAGGCAAAAATATAGAAAAGGCAAAGTGAAGGGTCATCATTTCTAATGAGGAATGCACTAGCGAAGTAAATCTCTGCTGTTATACATAATTTATGAGTATGCTATTTGTACGAATTGGAATAATTCTTGCATTTAAACTTGTATTCCAAATTAAGATTTAACTTGAAATTAATGTAGATAATTACTGAGAAAATTAGATTTTTGTAGCATAGTTTACGTGACACGAGATCACTTGGGATGAACCGACGAATCAGGATGTTGAACCGTGAAAGCATAGTAAATTCTTAAATTCTTTCTTTATTTATTGGCTTTTTACAAAATTTTAAACGATATTAAAAATGTTTATGCCTTCAAAATAAAAAATTCTTATAACTAGCATTTGTTAACGTTTTTTGTGTGTATACTGTATGTTGTCGCCAATAAAGTCTGCTTGGCGAGATTTGTGCCGACGAAACGGAAAAGTACCTATTTATTTTGTATGCATAAGATTTTTTTCTTCTTTCTAAGTTAGAGAGGATGTGAACTTTACAGTGGGGTATACATGTGGTTGCTATTATATTATTGAAAATATTTTTTATTCTTTTTCATTGTATTTTTGATTTTCTATATTTTAGTAGTAATTTATATTGTTTTATTTTATTTATTGTTTTTAGAATGGTAATTTTATAGTTTATTTTGGGTTTAATCTGATTTATAGCCATATTTTGTATTTAAGTCTATGTTTGCATAGAATTGTAGATCTTTTAATTCTAAGTGCAATAGTTTTAGAATTGTAAAGATAGCTCAGTTAGAAGAGGAGATATAGGCAGTTTCATGCGTAAGAGCCCTGGTGAAACTTTTTGCCACCTAGTTGGTGACATTTGACATTTTTGCACCAAATTGGCTACTTTTTGGAAGATATGCAAAACCAAATTTTTGAAGTTTTACAACTGATTCTTCCGAAAGTTTCCAGAGCCCATGCAGCAGGGTGTAAACGTGAGTCATAAAACTAGGCAGTTCAGTTACAAACCAGTTGTGAGACTTAGCAGTTAGTTGAATTATGAGTTATTGTTTACCCTGAGAGTGATTTGAGGAATTTTACAATTTATGCCATGTGTTAAAGAGGAATTGCTAATTATCCACATTCTCCTTGAGGTATTTCCAGCTATTATTGTATTGTATGTATTATTTATTGTGCTTATTTTCCTAACAATTTATTCATTTTTTTCCTGCTTACCTGGACTTATTATTTAAAGCAACACCAATGATCCTATAGCTCACAACAATTTTCACACTTTCATGAATTTTATAAGAATATTTAACAAGGGGATGAATAAAATAGCACTGATTGGATATTAAGGTGAAGATTTTGCTATTTGGTTTATTTTTATGCTGTATAAAATATGTTAAAAGTAACTTTAGCTATATAATAATAATACAGTGGAACTTATTTATGGTGACTACTCCCAGCTGTAGATGATTTTGGTTTGCTGTAAATTGTCTTCTTAAAGAGGATTTTATATTGTTATATGCATTTTGTGATTGCAACTTGTCTTGAAGTTCAGTTTATTTCATATACTGGGATAGGAAAGCTTACTTTTTATATTTAATTGAAACCAAACTTTCAAATAATGCATTTTACTAAAACATATATACTATAATTTTTAATGTTTCACTTTTGTATGATAAGATTTAAAGAAATTTTATACTTTATGGTATGTAATTAAACTTAACTGGTATTCTTAAAATTATTTTAAACTAAAATAATTATAAAAATACCAACTAAATAATTGAAATTGTTTTAATTATCATAATACAGCTTTATTATCTTTCAAAACTTTATGTTTGACATAATTAATACATTTTAAATGTATAATTATGTAAAATTTAATTTACAATTTTGTATGATAAAATTTTAAGAAATTTTAAACTTTATGGTATGTAACTAAACTGTTAACCGGTCTTCTTAAAATTATTTTAAACTAAAATAATATAAAAAATACCAACTAAATAATTGAAATTGTTTTAATTATCATAATACAGTTTTACTATCTTTTCGAACTTTATATTTGATGTAATTAATAAATTTTAAAAGTATAATTATGTGAAGTCTAATTTATAATTTTGAGGATATTATTAAAAGTAAATGCTTTTTTTCTTTTATTTTCTTTTTTTAGCAAATGTATTTTTATGTAGATTCAGATTTATGTGATTTCAGATTAACAATCTTATTTGAATTTTTGTGTTCCAGCATTTGATAATGGGAAATATTTAAAAAAAAAAATGATCTAGGAGGAGTTTTAGTACTTGTAGTTTATGCAAAATTTGTTTTTTCCGCAATCTATTTCAAATAATGCATTTCTGTTTGCTTCTGCTTATCTAATTTGTTGCTATGGTTATTTTTGTTGATAGCATCTAAACATATCTTTTGTATCTGTTTGGTCACCAAAGAGATGAAATAACTTGAGAGTTATGCATAGTTTGTTAACAGGTGAAAGATTTTGAGTGTATTTTTAATTATTAATTAATACACTGTTAAAATTAACTAAATATGTAAAACTATTAAGATAATAAATAATTTGTATTTACTTGTGAATTCATATGATTTACAAGTCTAGTTTGTTTAGTTATTTATAAAATTGAATGAGATGAGAATGTTTATATTCTTTTACCTTCAATTTTATGTTGTAATTATATTAATCTCAAGCATTATATTAATATTTTATTATTATTATTATGTTGTACTTTTATGTATACTTTTTTATAAAATTATTTCCCATATTTTTTAAATTTGTTTTATATTTATATAGTATTCCTTTTTATTAAAACAGCAGGATTTATCATATGGACAATCAGATCCCATGAAATTTTCAGTATGTATATAAAGTCATCTAAAATTTATTTTATATAAATTATATATATGTATACATCATTAATATATAATACATTCAATGTATTTTTTGTGAAATATAAAATTAAATATGTTTGTGTTTTACAGTATGCTATTTTTATTCATTATGCATTTATTTTAAATTTAAATACATATTTTGTGTCACTGAAGTCAAACAGCTATTAGCTTATCAAAATAAGAATATTCTCATTTAATTCAAATGTTTTATTATAGCTTTTCTTAGGTGTATCCATTACAAATTATGTTCATTCATGTTCCAATTAAATTTTACCTGTATTACTATTTAATTCAAATCATTATCACTAGATCATCAGTCTCAAAATTTAGTTTTATTTGTCTCAAGCAAAGCATTAAAAAAGGGGGGAAATGTAAATTGCAAATATTATGTATTTTATTTGTAACTAAATTTCTTAGCATCTTCTTCTTCTTTTTTTTGTGGGGGGAGACATATATAAGTGTTGAAATAGAACAGCAAATGTAAACTTTGCATGTGGTAAAAAAAAAAAAAAAAAAAAAAAAAAAAAAAAACACAAGGAAAAAATAATGTGTTATTTGTATAATTATTATAAAATACTTTTTACAGATGCGAGTACAAGAAAGATTTGTTTAATGTAAATTAGAGGGGATTTTTACTTAAAAATTTAAGAAAATGTTTATTAAAAAGTGTTTATGGATTTTTTTATAATGAAATGGGTACTTTCTGTTACCATACAATGCATTTTCTGCAGTATATTGACACATTTTGGTTTTCCACAGTTTTGTTGCATCTACCACTTTTAATTAGGACAAGATAATAAGGATCTGACATATATCTTCCCTCAGCAATTATATTGTGATTCTTCTGAAGCAAGCTTTATGTCGCAGAGCTCAGTAGACAACTCCTGATATTGTTAAATAAATTAATCTTATGACAGTAATGAAAAAATGCAGAATCTAGCAAATCACATTTGTGTTTGGATGCTTCCCCCCTGGCATATATGAAGGATGCGTAACCATTTCAGTTTTGAGTCTCAGTTTAATTTCATATGATAATTTTAAGTCTTTCTTTGTGCAGCATACCTTTTTTCTTGAAGAAACAGAACAGCTAGTTGTTTATCTCTTGACATATCCCAAATGATGAAATCCATTGCAGGGGAGTAAAAAAATAGGATTAGATGAAAAATGGTTATGAACAATGGTTATCAAGACTGGGAAAGAAGCCAAAATATACTAGCATTGGGAGGAGGAAATATGCCCTGCCAAACAAAAAAAAAGGGGGGGGATGGCTTGTAACAGAAAAGTACCACGAAATATCATCTTTTAATAATTCAATTTAAATCCGCTGTGAAATTACAAACCAGAATATGAGATGAAAATTAAATTTATTTCTTATTTTCATAGTATTGTGGTAAAAGTATATTTACCCCTTGGTGAAAATTGTTGATTTTTTTGCGGTACATGGATACCGAGTTTGCAATTCTTTGACTTGTTATTTTAACTTATATCCATGTAGATGTCAACTTATTTTCACTTAAAAAAAAATCAGAGAATTGCACAAACTTGTGCACTCCCTTGAATTTGCCCATGTACACATCGATATATTTTCACTTAAAAAGGCAAAGGAGCACATAATTCTAGGTAAAAGTATATTTATGGAACATTCAAAGTACTCAGGTTACCGTAAGTGAAACAACAACTTCGCAATAATGCAAGGGGGTACCCTTCAGTCTACTCTAATCGTAATTGTACTTCAAGAAAATTCCTGACCAATTTTGCATTTTTAAACATTACTTCAAAAATATTCCTTTATTAACACAATGCAATTTTTCAAAATTTTAAAGTGTTATTTTATTTGCAATTGAAGCTGAAATTTTATGTTTTGAAGTATTTATTCAGTGTGATAAAACTTCACAACCTTTTTTATCTACTTATATATTTAAGTTTCTTTTTTTTTTTTTTTTAAATTGGCATACATAATTTTTTTTAATTAAATCAAAGATTTAGGAGCATTTTTTTACAAAAACATTGGCTTTTTCCCCTTTCGTTTTTCCTCCTCACTTTTTTTGTGTGCATGTGTGCATTAGATGAATTTATCATTAAAAATTTACAGTTAGCTTGCATAACATTTCAGAGCTAATTTATAATGAACTGCTAGCAAGTTAACTAAACTTTTTCCTCCTTCAATCTTATAATGCAAATTAGCTATGTTTTTCTGCTGTTATGTTTTTCTGTAAGAATTTTTGACAATTTATTTTGTAAAGAATCAGTTTTCATAGTAAAGAGCTTTTAAGATAATTTTATTCATGATTATTGCAATTTGGATCAGAAATCAGCAAATATTTAATTATTTAGAGATTGCGACATTTAAAAAGTGTTTTGTGAATTTTTTCTTTTAATTGATTTATTAATTTTATTTCAATATGCTTCCTAAATATAATATAAATTTCTTTAGGACCCTCAAAATAGTTTACTTAGTACTTTATTCAAAGATGATTTACCTAGTGGAATTATTTTCAATGACGATCAAGAAAAGAAAAGGAAACAACTTGCTGCTGAACGAAGAGCAGAGTATAATGCATTTTTAGAAAAGGTGAGTAGTATGCTTTGCTTTAAAGTATAAATTAGGCTTTATTTTTGTGTAACATTTTGCCATTTTATCATTTTGTTTATTTCATTGCAAAACTATATCAGAATATTAATTTATTTAATTTATTTGAATTTTGTTACATAATAAAATTAAATAAAAAAATAAAACCGTTTCTTTACTAATACTTCATTTACTAAATCTGTTTATTTCAGTTCAATGAAAATAATTAAAAATCCCCCCTTTTTATTTTAACTTGACATTTCTCAGAATATTGCATTTAATGAAATGTCATTGCTGTCATGTAGTTATACTGGAAGATCTTGCATAGTGTAGCTTCACTCACTGCAGACCCCACTATAGTATGGTTAGTAATTTGAGTAATAAATTTTAGTCAGTACTTTGTATCTTTTTATTATTTTTCATTAACATTGGGTAAATATGTAAATATTTTTGTTCTAACAAAATTTTATAGGAACAAGTTACTAATTTTCCTATAGAAATAATGTTTCAATGGTGCTGATTCATTTAGTGTACTGCCAATTAACAGTATTAAGCGAGGTATTCCTGTATATTATAATTTCATGTCGATCAACTTTTATTCACTGTTTATAATATTTATTCACTCTACTGCTATAGTTTTATGATTTTATTGATGCATATAATAGTTTTTTGATTTTAAGGTCTTATTTTTTCTGAAACACAGGGTGCAGCTGAAAGAACTCTCTGATTTTGGAAGCTAATAAAATCCAAACCAAACCAGGATATGAAAATTTCTTGTTATTACTTGAAAGTACACATACGGCCATTTTACATAATTTTTTCCCCTTTTAAATAAAACAGAACTCAGTGGGGCCTCTATTGTTTATGCATTGATTGAGTCTTTGTGGATAATTGTCCAAGAATTTGTGAGATATTTGAGGAATGATGGCAGCAACTTCCTGTTGTATCGCCTTCTTTACAGCTTTGAAACTGACACCTAACAGTACTTTTTTTTTTTTTTTTTTTTGGAGAATAGTATCTTGCCAGTCAAGTGCAAAATGAATGTGAAAGGGAAACTGAATTGCCATTGCGTTTTGTCAGCAACCTGCTATTATGAATAAACTGCTCTACAATGAAATCATGATGTTCTCATGACCAAGCTATGGCCTAGTCTAAAATGACATGTAAGTTGCTATTCAATGGTTGCTGTAAACCCTCCTGAATTGTAGCAGTGCTACTCCAAAATTGGGGAGTTCTTTCTGCTGTACCTTGTATTGTGATATTATCAAAGTTTCTGCTTAAAAATTGTATTTTGAGTGAGGGATAAAAGATATTAGTTAACTATCAGAAAAAAAGCTATGATTTTGAATGGTCATTTCATTTAGAAATTTAGACAAAGCCATTCTGTACAATTCTGCTTTATTGAGGAAGATGTAAATATTTTCTTTTCTTTAACTTTTATAGCCCATGCATATAAAAATAATAAGAGTGTTGATTTTTCAACTAATTAACTGTACCGGTTTGAAACTTTTCAGTCTTGTAATATCTCTGTTAGAATTATTGAACTTCTAACCTCTGGTTTTCTGTACTCTATCATAGTGAAAAGTGACTCATATATTGAACTGTTTGAAGGCATAATTGTTGTCTGAAATTAGCTAATCTAAAGTTTTTTAATTACATTATATCTAAAAAGAGATTTGAAATAGGATGCATTAATGAAATCTGTCTTTAGACAAGAGTGCCAAAAATAGTTTGTTACATTATTAAACAATTATTTATTTCTGTTCATGTGGTAAACTTTCATGCCATTTTATAAAAAATATAAAATATTAATTTTCAGTTTTAGGTATGTAAAGGATAATATTTTTAACACGAAATATGAATGTAAGATTGTACCAATACATATTTTTCTGCATTGACAACTGTGTAATTTCTGCCTCCTTTCCAACAGTTTTCCGATGCCACTGTTATAAGCAGTGTGTTCTTAAATATTATTTCTCATTAATCATTTTAAAGTTAGCATATATTTTATTTTTGTTAGTAAAGGTGGGAATTTATTATCTTGATGCACAGACATTGACTTCGAATTTGGTTCTGAGAAAATATGTTATGAATTAATGAGCTGTAATATAATTTATTAAATTTCAGTTTATTTTTAGGTGAAAGCATCATATATATATATATATATTATATATATATAGATATATATATAATTCAGTTCTTAATGTATAGCTTAAATTAAAAGAATTTCTTATTCATTTTTATTTTAGATTTTATTTATGATAAAAATTTTTTTTTTGGCTTAAGTTAATAAAAGATAAAACACTCTCACTTTATTTGGTTATTTTTGATTGATAGTAGATTGGTTTGTTTTCCCTGTGAAGTCAATTAATCAGCAGTCAATAACAATAGCTACATTTTCAGTACTTTGGATTTTGAATTTAACGTTTGGAATTTTTATGGTCGAAGGATTTTTCTTTACAGATTCTAAATAATTTTTACTACAATAGATCTAGATAACTTTGGATACTGACTTGGAAAGCTACTTAAAAGTACTTACTGAAGTTTTTTCTAATAATTCATAACATTAATTAAATTTATTTTTCTTGGAGATGATATATAAATACATTTTCTAATAAAAAATTATCTATCTCTCTCTATCTATATATATATATACACACACACACAAGAATTTTTTAGAATATTTTTAAAGCTTCAGTTTTATATAGTATCAAAAATAAATTTTCTCAATCATAAATTACATTTTTTCCTCAGCAGAACTCTAATAAAAACTAAATTTCTTAACCAGAACTTTACTATTATTAAAGTTGACAAAGCAAGTAACACTTTGAATGTAATTTGAAAAAAGAAATATGGTTTGCTTATTGAAAAAGAACTTCAGCAGACTATTATGTCTCCAGTGTTTCTTCTGTTATTAGCAAGATTAAAGCTTTTCAATGGGCACTAAAAATTCATCTTTTCTGACAACAATAAATTATCTTATCTTTATACCTTGCCTAAATTCCATAAAAATCTTATCAAATTTAGTTTTATTGCTAATGGTACTAAAAACTACAAAAGGCAGCAGACAATATTTTTGCTCTCAAGCTTAAAAAAAAAAAAAAAAAAAAAAAAATGTACTATTATTTTTAAATCTATTAAGAAAGCACATCGTTAAATTCGATTATTAATAATAACATACCTGTTCTTTCTACGCTTAAAAATTTGAAAGGTAAAAGAAATCAGTTGTTACTAATTTGAAAATTTGGATTTTTCACCTCATTAACTGAAATGTACTTAAATGTCCATTAAATGTCTTTTAGCTCTTCCTAAACTTTTCCCTAAAATTCGTACATTTATTTTAGAAGATAATTGAAAAATTATCCTCAGTTGTACACTTTTTAATAACTGCATCCAATTTAGAGGCTATTTTTCAACCAGTTTATGGGATTCCTATGGGAACTTTCTATTCCACACATTTATGTAACCTTTACTTATTCACTAAAGAATATCACTTCAAAAAATCTCTTAATCAAAATGACAAAATTACTTCACTAATAGTTTTAGATATATTGATGATAGTTTTGCTATAAATAATTTTGAGAAAGTACAAGAACACTGTAGTTACCCATCTAATTTGGTACTAAATAAAACTAATACTGCTTGAAAAGAAATTAACTATTTTGATTTCAAATATATTAACTTAATGACAAAAGAAGAGACTTCAATTACAAGGCAATTTAATTAATACACTGGGAAACTAATATTTAAAAAAATTAAATAGCACTGTTCTCAATCAACTCCATGGAATTAAAAAGTATAGTACTGAAATTAATTACCTACAAGAAAAAATCATACTTTTCATTAAATAGAGAATAAAATTCATTAACAGAGATTAAAAAAAAAAGTATTTCATTAACCTTTCTTTGAAAAAAGCAGGCATTAACTACTGAATATATCTGATTTTATATTGCAATTTGATTGTATTATTTTAACCTAAACAAGAGAGTAATACAGGATCCTAACTAAAATTAGAAACTTGATTTATATGTAAGAATTTTAATAGGCACTGTGTTATACTATTTTATACTTCAAGCACTACACATCCTGTTCCACAACCTGTAAACCTCTGTATTGGGAGGAAGAGAGGTCAAAAAGCACCAATATAGAATGTAGGTTTTCCATTTACTTCCTCCAGTCCCACACTTACTGGCAAAAGATTTTTAGGTTTCATTAAATCTAACCAATGTGGCTGAGTCTGTAGACTTCTGGTTCTCAGTGTCATGGAAGGACATGGCTGTACTTTTAATCCTTACACTTTGACTGATCATTGGTAATACTTCCCACCATTGCATTGGTACTATGCAGACTGCCTAGCCCTAGGGGAATTATATGGAATTTGGTGAGCTATAGACCAGCAACTGTACCACTTTCAATACCTCTAGTTTGTGGACTTACCACCAATCCCTCCTCGTTCCAACCATATTAAATGATCTTTCCTCAAGGTTTTGAAATTGTCAGGCTCGTGTTATTATTCCTCCATAGTGCTATTGCCAGAATAAAATACTCAGTCGGTGTGTACACCTCAGGGGGCTTGTTTTATGTAAATAATTCTCTTGTCATGTACAGATTCTGTAGTATAATTTTGTCTCTTTCCTTTTACTAACTTAGCTTATTTACTTTCAAAGACCATCAAATGCTATATTTAGGTGAATATTATTGACTTTAAACTTGCTATCACCATTTTCCGTAACTTTTACCAGAATTTAAATTTTAATTTCACATTTAAATATTTTTAATTATAAATTAAATTTTTAGCCTTAAATATTTTTGCCATCAAATTAGTTTCTTCCCATAGTCCATCATTTCTTACTTTTTTGCAAATCTAATTTTTGCTGCTAGCTCAATAAATGTGATTTTGAGGATTCTTCTATATTGCTGCCAAAATTCTCAACTATACTAATATTTCAACAATCTTGGCATCCTATTTGTTTGAAGTGCATTATTGTCTAGTTTGAAATTCTACATTTGAAAGATTTTTACAATGGCAACCTTTCTGCATACTTTCCACACTCCTTGTTTGAATGTTAAAATACAACCACATTTTTTCCAAGATTTTAGGCAATATTGTTTCATTAAGCAACACTAGTAAGATTTCCTATTGTTTTATTTTTTATTTTAATTTCTGGGGGGTTTTCCAATCTTTTTATATACTTATAGTGCAGGTATGAGTAGTATAGTGTAGATATGAATGGAATGTAAAAGTTTTTGATTTTTTAGGGCTCTTAGCTAAAATGGTAGAATTTGTTACATAAAAATTTTTTGTAAGTTAAAATTTAACAGTTAACATGACCGTTGTATTCTTTTCATAATTAAAATGACCACTTTATTCATCGTAATTCCGTTTTTTTTTTTCTGCCATGGCTAAACGTAAATTGGGTTCATCTTCTCTAGACAGCTCTGTGCTAAATTCTATCAGCCTACCATGACTGTGAACCTCTAAAATATCACACACACACACACGCACATATATATATATACACACATCCTAGTATTGCCCATTGCAATAGCAAAGGGAGGTGCACAACTAGATGTTATAACAATCCATATACAAAATTTCAATGCTGCACGGCTAATCCTTTTGAGTTATGTGAGATACATGCATAAAGACATATGTATGTTGTACGTATGTACAGATGTTACAAAAAAATTCCTTTCAAATCCATTTTACAATCCATTTTTGAAAAAGAAGCTTTTATTCTTTGCTTATGTACAGATATGCAAAAAATTGTTCATATGGATTCGATAGTACTCAAAATGAATATTTCCATTAAAATATGATGCCCTAAATTTTGCACAGTTACAGTACTCCCTTTACTTTGTAGAAGGAAGTAAATATAGTGTCCTTATTTGTGTTCATGGGTGATATTTTATTCAGTTACTGAATGTGATTTCCCTGGCATTTATGACAGTTTACTAATGAAATAAAATCTTATTTTTATATGAAATGACAATTTTATTCTAAAGTTGAAAATATTATTCTAGAAAGAATTTGAATCATTAACAAAAAGAAAAGTACTTGATGAGAAGAGAAGTGTTACTCCCAAATCAATCCTGGATTCAGTAGATTATGAACAAGTTTTAGCCAAAAGGAAAGAAGAAGAAATAAAATTCAGGTATAACATTTAAATTTTTATTATTATTAAATATTTATTATTATCATTCTTATACACATCATTATTAAGCAATTTCAAATTATTTTCATTTTTGCTTTTTCTTTCTGTATAAGCCTTAGCCTTTATTATATTTTTTCAGAGGTTTAAGCCCCTGACTGGCACAACTGTTTTTATCTGGTCATGAGATTTTTTTTGTCATTTTGTATATATTACCTCAATATTTTCTTTTATTTTCTTTAATTGTAATGAATAGCTTAATGAGTGAAAGTGTATGAAAACGAAGACTAAAATAATTAATTTATACAAATTTAGCAAATGAAGGCGGATTAAATATAGTTCTTCATAAGCTGATAAAAAAAAAAAAAAAAAAAACATGCCACTCAGGGAGTTAAGATTAGAGAAATGAAAATGTCTGTACACATACAAATTTGCATTTTGCTTCATTAGTTAATTTTTAATATGTGTACCCCTAATTAAAAATTGTTATTTGCAAATTTTTTGTTGATTTTTTTTTTTTTTTTAAACGATGTATTTAAAACAGATATGTGTTTTCCTTCAGTATGCCTTATGGTACAGATTATACTGTATTTGATGAAAACTAACATCTACAAGAAGAAAATTTGGTACTTTCCCAACAGGTGATCTACCATTCGTCTGCTGACCCACTGCATGTGAATCATGATTGAAACCAAAAAATGACAATAATGCTCTACTAAGCCACATATAAAGCAGCAGTAAATAAATAAAAAGTAAATATATGTGAAGAAATTATGTATACTTTTATTGCATTACCAGATTATTACATTAAAGTATACAACATTACCTGAAGAATGCACTAATGTAGCCTTGTAGATGACTTATCATATCCATCAATTGTTATCATTGTACTTTAAGCATATTAAACACACAGTTCCAGTAATCCTATTTGGCATCTGTAATTTGAAACAGTCCTATTTCATATTTGTAAATAATCATTTTACTATTACAATTTTAGATATAAAACAACACTGATAGTCATCCCTATTTTTCATTTACACTTCTGATATTTCAAAGCATGGTCAAAAAGTTACCCCATTGTTGACAGATTCCCACCACATTTCAACAAGATGATAGGGCAGCATTATGGATATTGTTCCTCTTGTTTATATTATTATTTTGCTGGAAAGGTGGGAGTGTTGTGAGAATGTGGTTAGTCATCCTGACATAAGGAGGGCCAAAGAGGGAACCAATTAAGGTTAAATCATGTGATTCATTTTCGTAACTAAAGATAAATACAAGGTAAATCACATGTTGTGATAGATATGGTCGCAATAAGTCCTCTGTTGTAAAAATACCTAAAACTGGTACAGCTGCTTTAAGGAATAGAGAAGATGTTAACTGTAAAACACTGAACTGATATAATCTTCTTAGTTTTGTAATGCAAACAAAGTATTTCTGCAATCAAAACATCCAGCTCTAAAATTTATGAAACTAAGCATTTTGCTGCAGAAAACCTGTTATAAAATTTAATCCAAAAATAATCCTGTACATAAATCTCATTAATTTTTTTGGTTGTGATATAATTTATATTTATTACTGGGATGAAGGACTTTAAGTAGAAAAGAAATCTATGTAACAGTACTAAAATAAAAGCATCTGAAGATGATTACTTCCATTGAACACGTTTTTTATTTAGGTATGCGGAACTTAAATTTTTATTATTTTAGGTAATAACCAACTGTCTTGGTTACTTATATTGATTTCGACATTTCTTTTTTCACTTCCCATCTCACGTGTTTGTGTTCCAATCCTTCATTCACACGTATATCAATCATTTCTGCTTGTATAATTTTTATTTTGAACTCCTCTCTGTTTGGTATTTATTACTTAGTGTCTTCCTATTACAGTGGCTTGTGTTAAGTTACTGGCTAAAATTTTAGAAAAGCAGTTTTGCATGTGAATATTTAAAAAAAACCTTACCTAAATGACTTTAAGGGTCACAATACATTTCCATTTGTCTTCAGCCACATACTTTGGTGAACATAATTTTTTTTTTTTTTTAGCTTTTTAAAGTTGCCTAGTTTTTTTTACTAGGATTTACAACTTTGAAGTTTATGGATAAATTTAAATATTTTGCAATTGATTTCTCCATTGGAGAATTTTTTCTTGTTGCCGATGATTTAACTTAAGAAACATTAGAAACAAAGCATAGTTTTTTTTTTTTTCAAATATTCATTTGGCATCTTCTTTCTTGTAGAAATGATGATTGTAAGTTTTTACTTTTCTATATAATAATGTTGCTCTTTGAAATGCTCAAAATCATATCCTGGAGTCTTTTTGCTTATGCCTGCCTGAATTTTTTTGGCATAATTCAACTTTTTTATTATTGATTTGAGCTTTACAGATACTTAATCTTACCTACTTAAAGTCTTAGAGTATGTTAAGGGCAAAAATTTTGCATAGAAGCTCAGACTTATTTTTATTGAACTTTTTCTCACCAGTGTATTTTATCTTAGTTAATACTAAGTGTATTTCAAATTATGCGTTTCCTATTTTAGTACCATATTATATCTGTCAAATGAGAGAGATTTTATTTAGTAAATATGTCATTTTAATTGATCTATTTTCATTTTGAAGTATTTTTATTTTATTGTAGGAATTTAAATCATGCTGAGCCTCTGTTGGAAGAAAATATTAGAAGAAATGTTGTAAGTATTCCTTGTTGAGAATGGTTTAGTCCTTTTTATTTATATTGGTTTATTTTCTGAGGATAAAATGTTAAATACCTTTAAACACTCCCAAATATATGTTTGTGCTGTTAAAGTTTCTCTCAAAATACAATACTGAGAAAATCTCATTGTGCAAGTAGTACATAATCTCAGAAAGTTTACTTTTTTGTTTGACGGTAATTAGCCACACAAGTGCCACAGCAATAGGTTTTTTTTGTATTGGTTATGCTAATCATTTCTTTTCATCCTTAACTCTTTTAGTGATGTTTGTCACTGATATAGTCTATGTGAAGAAGTGATAATATTATAGATAACTGACTCGTTTTGCTTAATAATAGAATCTGACACACACTTTTTTAATTTGATTGACTGACTAAGGAGCAGCAGCAGTGTTACAAATGCATTTTCTGCAATGCATGGATAAACAAATACTTAAATTCATGCTTTATAAACTAAGGTAAATAAATGTTATAAAGATTTAACTAACAAATTTTAAATGAAAGAACATATAAACTGTGTGCATGTTTTGCACATTGTGACCGCGTGCATGTATATTGCAGCAAATGAAATATTTCTGTATTTTTTATTTTTCATACTCTTGTATTCATGACATATTTTTAGAAAAAATTAATATCTGATTATTTTTCACATGAAAAAATACAAGATTAGAAGTAGTTTGTCCAACAAAAATAAGCAGGTATGGTAAGGCTTTAGAAGGCATAACTTCATTCTTTCAAGCACTTGATGTCTTGGTTAACGACCATGGCAAAGATAAAACTCAGTCTTTATGCAAAAGATGATGGCCAGCGATAATAACAGCTTAATACTTGGAAATACAACGATGAAGTTTGAAAATGATGTTTGATTGAGTCATAAAAACATGGATATTACTTTCTTTGGCGCCGCAGCGCGCAATGAATTGCAATGAGCGCGCAATGAATGCCGCAGCGCGCAATGAATTGGAATTGATCTGTCAGCACTATCCTTATCTTCAGGGCAGATGTTTTTATTTTATTTGGCTTAGAATTCCTTACTAAATGTAGTATTTCATCTTGATGTACTCCATCTTTGATGTGATTTAAATCAAATTCCTCGTCATTATAATTCGTTTCCGATAGTGAAGAAAGTGACACAGAGGTTATTGAAAACAAAAAAATTTCGATTGACAAATTAGTCGGTATTCTCGACACAGCAATTATAGGACTTGAACATCGGAACTTTGTAACTGAACAAGAAATTATGTCTGTTTATAGAATTAAAGAGAAAGTATTATCACATAAAACGAAGCAACTTAAACAACTTACATTGAAAGAAATGTTTAAATAAAGTAAACAAATAAATATTAAGTTTTTTTTTTCTCTTTTCTTTCTTTTTTTTTTTTTTTTTTTAATTTAATACCCTTTAGATCATAATTGTTCTTTATTTCATACATTACAGTTTCATATTTTTAATTTTATAATTTCTTCATGCCATCTTACCAGATTTAAACTGATGATCTATAATCCGGAATCGCCGAAGTCCCGACGAGTCCGGATTAACGATTTTTGACTGTATCACATATGTTTAAATATCAGGAATGTTCAACTTAAGGAACATAATTAGGTTTACAGTTGCTTGGTGAGAAAAATTAGCACAGCTTTTAAAGTTTTTATTATTTTTACAAGCATATACATATTTACAATATTTTTACAGCAATCAAACTCACCATCACTCAGCAAAAAAAGGGGGATGGGAGAAAGAGCTGATTGCTGGAGAAACTATTTGGCACAAAATGTTTTCCCTTTTCTGATACTGCTAATAGGAGATCGACTAAGTTTCTATAGTCATTTTTGCAGTTCACAAATTTATTATTTACAAAATTGCTAAAAATTACGTAGTGATATTTGGGATGTTGTAGAACAGACACAAAAATCACAGATGTCTTAAAATATTACAAAATTCTAAATTATAATTTGTTTGATCCTATTCTGTAAAGTGTTACAGGAAATATTCTTGCTTTATTAATATGGTAATATTCAGTTTCTTTTTGTACAGATCATGAATTTATATGGTATGCTTAAATCATTTAAAGTTTACGATATATCTATCAAATACGCAAATATGTGCTGTGTATAATGTATATAATATGTTAATTCTGATTTTAAAAAAATATGAACTATATTGAAACTATATTCTGTTTTATTTTGTATCTATTTTTTTGTTTTGTTTATATTGATTTTTTAAAACTTTATTATGAATAATAATTTATAAACTATGTTAAAACTAATTATTTACTTTTGTTTTAGATGTCCACTGTTGGTGACACTTTAAGTGAATCTTCTAAAACGTTTCAAAGGTATTTAAAGATTGATTACCTCGGCACTTTTATTTTAAACAGACTTTGATTTTTCTTTAGATGACTGTTTTAAACATAGAAAAGCTAACCTTTTGTTAGAATTTTTTTCTCTTGTATGGGAAAATATTTTCTTAGATCAAATTGTAATTTTTGCTTAGTTAAAATAACATTAAAAAATTCATAATAGTACACCTGCTAATTAATTCATTTTATATAAAAATTTGCTATATTTTTAATTAAATAAATTAAACTTTAAACCTTATCTTAGTGTCTCTTTGTTTTTCACACAGTTGTTTCATAATTTGTTTTTATTTTTTCTTCTTTGCTTCCCACCCACTGTACAAATATTGAATATGATTGCTGAATATTTCCTTTTATTAGTGCAAAAGTCTATTGGGCTTCTCAAAATTTTTTGCAGTATGAATATACAAATGTATAATGTATGTTGTATATATTTATGTGCCCAGAACTATGTAAGTTTCATATTAAAAATAGATATGTATTATATATTATTTCATATTATTCTGGTAGTTTGTTTAATTGTAATATGGTAATACTTGGATAATATATTAATATAATCAAATAAACTACTGCAATAATTTGAGAAAAAATAATTGAAAGCCAATATATTTGTATGCTCAGTGTTCTTTCTCTTCAGTCTTTGTCTTCTCTCTGTAATTATGATATTAGGTACTAAAATATCTTTCATCTTCCATGCTATTAACAATATTGAGAAGTCTTGAAGAATAGCTATAAATGGGACTACAAAGGTTGCTTTTACAAAGTTTTTATGACAGTATGTTGCTTTAAGTATCTGTATAACATCAATATAAGTATCTTGATTGATCACTGTAAGAAGTTGTTTATAAAAATAATTACTTTTAATCAATGAGCTTGTTTTTGTTTTGTGCGTGCCACTACTGTTAGACAAAATAATCTGCAAATATATTCTATGATTCATTTTTTATATTGGATGGCATACTTATGACCAATTTATTTCAATGCCTTTCTGCTGAAGCCATCAACAATATTTGTGCTTCTGATCAAGTTCACCATTTTTATTTGTCAAAACAGATTCTGTCTTATTCCCAAAGTAATACTTAGTTAGGCTTTTAAGAAAAGACTTTAAATCTTATGACAGACTGCATAAAATGTGAGTGAATGCATAGTATTTTTATGAAAAATATTTTAAAAATAATTATGCAAAATATTTTTAAAAAGCCCACATTGAAATTATGTGCAATGATTATTTCATGATTCAAAGTAAGCCATATGTTAGCAAGAAAAATCAACCATTTTCTGATGAATTTACAAAAGAAACTTCCGTCCTCACAAATTGAAACTATCATCTTTTCTTAAATTAGTTTCAAAAACAGATAGAGCAGGAGCAATGATATGCTGCATAAATGAAATTGTAATGCCGAATGATGACCAGCTCCCTAGTTTTTTCAGTTATCACTATATAATTCACCAAGAAATAGTAGCCAGCAAAAGAAACAACTAAATAATGTGCAAGGTATATTGTCATTGAACAAATTAAATGAATAAATGATAAAATAAAAAAGTGAAAGAATAAATAAACTTTTGAAAAGGTTGACATCTCAATTTTTGTTAAAGTAAGTTTAAACTGATTATTTATATACTGATTATTTACTGATTATTATAAACTGATTATTTATCATATGCATATCAAAACACCATTCTCATTTACTGAAAAGACATTTTACAAAAAAAAATTACTTTGAGATGAAACAATGTTATTACATTAAATTTTGTTACAAATAAGGTAAATCTGTTACCAAAATGTTCGAGATGACTCAATCAGTATATGGTGATGCATCGTTATCAAGAACACAAGTGTATGACTAGTACAACTGCTTTAAATGTGGACACAAAAGCATTAAAGATGAACCAAAGATAGGGTGCCCTTCAGCTTCAAAGAATGCGGAAAATGTGGAGAAAATATTTCTTCAGCAAAAACTGATAGGTAATAGATCAGCAACTTTCCGACATATTTGGAATAAGCAAAGCAATAGGTTAATTTCAGTTGAATATCTGAAAATGAGGAAAGTTTGTGCTCGGTTTCTGCCTCAGATTCTTGCAGAATGGCAAAAAAAAAAAAAAAAAAAAAAAAAAAAAAAAAAAAAAAACAGTTCACAACTTATATAAGCATTTAGCTAGCTGTCATAGCATGACTTCAGGTTCTTGATACTGATTTCCTCTGTGTTCACATCAATACTTTGGTGCATCATCGTAATAAATGTTTGCATAAGCATGGTGATTATGTAAAAAAAAATATGCTGACCAGTGCTTTATTGCTTTGCATCCATATATCTACCACCGGTGGATTAAAGTATGTTTTTAGGAAGGCAGCACCTTCTTTTTGAATTGGTATTATAGCATACATACCTACATCTAGTTCTTTTTAAGTTTAGGTATCTAAAATGTGTACTTCTTTTGTTCTTGAATTTTAGTTTTTTTGTTTATTTATAAAAAAATATTGTACAATAGAATTTTTTCTTTCACTTTTTGTACAAGAGATACAAGAATAAAAAGTACTTTATGGTTATTTATGTTTAATAATGGCAACTTCTATAATTTGAATAATCTAACCTTGTTTTACTGCTCATATTTTTCAAGCAACACTTTTGTTTCTGTTAACTGTAGTAATACATTTATTTTGGTGTAATTTTTTCATTGTTTATAATGGAAGCATGTAATGTAAATATTTTGCATTCTTCTCATGTATGTTTTTAAAAATTTCATAGAAATCTCAGCAGTGCTGGAAGACTTAAAAGTTTGGAAAATAATCGAAATTTTGTATGTATACATGTTATTTTAATTCATTCTTCTTGTAGGCATTAAACAGTATTTTTTCCTATGGTATTCTTCCTATGGCATTCCTATGGTAATTCCATGAAGTGATATAAAGGATTCTATTAAAAAAATCCAATAATTACAGAAAATTTTACCTATTGAAATTTAAGAATGTGTTGGGTACACTTGTATTTCCTAGATAAGATATTTGAATCAGGTAGCTTTTAGTGTGGCAGCGTGTAGCAAACTTTTTAATTCCAAATCTGCAGATTACTTTAATTGTATATGCTGTACTTGACTACCTAAAATATAGAAAACAACATACTAATGGCTGTGTTTAGATAGAAATTTAACATAATGAACATCATTCTTAAACTATCAAATCAGCTGCAGTTTTTCTTTAAGAATGCTTGATGTGAATCCAGTTTGTACATTGATTCCTACAAACAATTTCTTATGTGAAGGGAATACCAATATTATTGTTCCATAAAATTTAAAAGGTTTCCACTACTAAATTTAATTACAGAATACTTTCATAATATATAAAATTATGGTATGTGAACATAATCATCAATAATTGTGCCCAAGTGTTTTCCTATTTTAAATCAGAATCATAATATCTTTCTTAATGATGTGTAAAGAAGGTGGGGGAGAATAAGTAATGCATTGTTATTTTAGAATAAAACAAAGTTTAAAAAAAAGTTCTGCAAGGTTAACAGTTGCTCAGAAGGCTTTTTAAAGTTTAACATAGTTTGCCAAGATTATCGATAGAGATGGTCCGGCAGGAAAAGTGAAACATTTTATAATACATTAGATTAATATACTTAGGCTAACATGGGAACATTATGTATCTTTTATACATTTGAAAAGTGAAAAAATATGTAACATAATTTTGTGGACATATTTAATGTTTTTAATTATATGCATTTAAATCAAATTGAACAGTAAAAAGATAATATTTTTAAGAATGGCATCTAACCCTGCTTTTAACCCTTTTGGGATGGGTATGCCATATATGCATTGGCTGCCAACTGTATCAGATCCAGACTGCTCTGTTCGGGAGGTTGAACCACATATGAATTTTTGGAAAGAATGTTTAATTAGCATCTTTTTTTGCCACTAAATGTAGTACAATGTCTTGGAGAATGATGATCTTCAATCCATTGTGGTATTTTTTATTTTGGTATTTTATTTCAGAATGAAAGTGGAAATCATGGATTGAGTAATGTAAATAAACAGAGCTCACTATTAGTTGTGTCAGTTGATAGAATACATGGGGGATGCACTTGATGTTTCTGAATACTTTTGTTTTTATTTTTGGTGATATAGGGATATATGTCCTGGTTTTTATTCATTCCTCATAGAGGTAGGGTATGGTTGAGATGAATATTTTGTGTATCATTTAGTAAAAAATTTCTTACACTTCAAATGGTTAGGAAAATATAATGAATGATAAAGTTTTCAAATAAATTCTGATAATGACCTGAGTGTTCTTCTCAAAATGTTGCAAAAAATTGGAGCTGTTTGACGGCAAATTTAATTTATGCAAATGATTTTCCAAAATTATTTTTACCCGCACAAATTTCCCATCCCAGCAAGACAATGAATGCATCCTGTCAATGCACCATCTCAAGAGTTCAGTGACTGAAACCCCCATCGTGACAGGGTTAAGTAGCTCAGTTTGTTAATCAGTAACAGACAGATTAAATGTGAAGAGAAATATCTTACATTTTGCCAAATAGCAACAAACTCGAATAAAAATTGAAGGAACGCAAATGTGTGTTTCAAGACTAATAGCCCTTTTAGGCTAATAATTATGTAAATGTTAATTATTTTATGATTTTTATCTTGAAAATAGATGCAAGGCTCCAAGTATCAAAATGTTAATTAATAGTTCATTTATTAAGACGCAAGAGAACACTCTGACATACTGAGAAAGTTTCCTTTTTGCTCCTGATGAAGGGGGGACCCATTTTGCCCTCGAAATCAATTGGAATTTTACAAACTCTACACCCGAGCTCATTTATTATGTGATGTTTCATGTGTCTTCAATTTTTATCATAATTAGTGTCAAGATTGGAAGTTAAGAGCATTGCTTATTTTTGGATTTAAGTAAATGCAAATTGGTAGTGTTTATATTCAAATTAAAGTTACTGTTTTAAAGAGTAAGGAATTGGGAAGAATTCAGAATTTTTACTTTACCTTCACTTAGTTTTCCTATTTTATTGAATAAATAATGAGTAAGATTTGGAATAGTTAATGAAAACGTTATTGCTGCTTAAAATTATGAGTTGAATTTTAATTAAGTATTTAATAAATGAAAATTTTATATTCTATTCTACTGAAGTGCAGCAATTTAAGTTCATTATTGTAAAAGTTTTTTTTTTTAAATTTTCTTGTTGGGGGAGGACAATTTGTCATTCACTTGTAACTTTTCACAGAATTATTAAAAAATAAATAAATAAATAAATAAAAACATACATAGAACTGTCTTGTATTTGAATTTTAGGTCTTATTTCGTATTTTAATAATTTTTAGCTTTATACTTGATTTAGTGATTCTTGGCAATTAGCTATGTTTAGTTTTAGTGTTTAATTTTATTTTTTGCAATAAATTTTAATTAATTTGAATTTTAGATGGGTATTCATATTTACAGTTCTGTTTCTGAGTGTAACAACTTTTTGATTTAGAATAGAATATGTTTTTCTTTTTATTGTTTGCACATTCTACTTCATAAACAAAACTTTGAATTTTTTAAGGTATCTTGCGTATGTTTGCATAAATATAAAATGCCTAAAATTATATTTATTTCCAAATTATTGCTAGATTATAGTGCTGGCTTAAACTATGCCTTTAATTAGCTTTAATTCCAGTACAAAAGTGTTTTTAATTATAAGTGAAAATTGTTATAAAAATTTTTGAACAATTTTTTCCATTTAAAAGTTTTTTATTTATTTAAAACTCTGTTCTTTAGTTCTTTTCATGAAATCCTATTCTGATCATAAACTTAACAATTTGTGAAATTTAGGATTTAAAAAAATATCAAATATGAAATATATTTCATGTCAACGCAATTTAGTTCCCATGAAATATATTTAATTATTCAATTTTCATTATTCTTCATTAGAAATCAATTTGGTGCATGCATACTTAATTTTTTTTCTTTTTTCCTAGGATGTTGTACAACATCATGATGTTCCTGAAAATGATTTTACTTCTAGGTAGGTTAAGAAGTTATGTATTTCTTCTATTTTCTAAACTTTTATATTCTCACTGTTGTAAATCTTGCTATTGATTTCATAAAAAATGAGTTTATATTTTGAAGAACTTCAGCTGCCTTTCAATTTTCCCCCTTCCTCTTTTTTTTTTTTTTTTCCAAATATTATTTGCGATTTTCATTTCGTTAATCAAAATATATATCTCCTTCAAAGAATGCACTTTGCTAAAATAAAATGAATTTTGTGAAGAATACATTATATTTCAAAAACTGTATGTTTTTGAGTAAGCAAATTTTATGCTTTGGTTGAAGGATTTTTGTAACTGTGAAAGGCCTTGAAAATATTTATAAAATTGTTAATTATAGCATGTAATTAAAAAGAATTCAAGATTTCTTCAAGAGTTAACTGTTATGAAGCTATTGTTACTTCTTTTCAATAAACTAGTTTCAGTATCATAATATGATTCCATATTGTAAATGTCAGAGTAATTGTGCATTCAAAATATGTTCAGTTTTTGGTTAGTAGCAGAACTGCAAGCACTTTCATATTGTCAGTACTTAGATTTGTCTGATGTAAAATGTGTTTCATTGTGTGTTCAAAATATGTTCAGTTTTTGGTTAGTAGCAGAACTGCAAGCACTTTCATATTGTCAGTACTTAGATCTGTCTGATGTAAAATGTGTTTCATACTGCCATTCACATGTGTTCTTCACACCCATCTCAATTACCTAGTATAAGGTGTTAAGGTTAATACCACCAGCATCTAATTTTTCCCTAATCAGTATTTTTTGGTTCATGTTTGTTTTATCATTTGTTCTAACATTTCATTACTTGTTTTAGGCATGATGTGAATAGCTTGCAGCATCCTTCCATAAGAAGAACAGGTGGTGGTGGAGAGCCTGTGAGGGATTCATTTGGGAATTTGATTAGTAAGAATTTGACTTCAGTTTTTTGTTAAAATAAATTTAATTATATAAGCAGTTTCAGTTTTACTTTTAACATTTTATTTAAAATGAGTCTACTAGATTTCTGTTATTGAAAATTAGTTTAAAGTGTTTCATCATATTAGATTTCATGATTCCCATTCAAATCATCAAAAGAGTGCTAATTTAAATATTGCTTTAAAAGAAAAATGTATCAAGATAAATTTTAAAAGCATTTTGAGACTCATACTCATGAATCACTTATGGGAGTGTTCAGTGAGTGACACTTTTTAAATTTCAGTGCTCTGAATTTTCAGTAGAAGGTAACTGAACATTTTAGAATCAAATCTTTAATATTATTTTTTTGTTATTTGTATCAACTGCAATAGAGTATCAAACTTTTGTTACATTTTTCCCATTTATTCAGGAGATCTACACAAATTGTCAAATGTACAACAGTAAAGTAACTAATATCAGTTAACACTCTGGACTTCCTAAAAATATTTTAGCAGATGCTAATATTAAATTTATGTTCCTTAAATTTTGTTTTATTACCAACCTAAATTTCTGTAAACATGTTTAAAAAGCATAAAGTTCCCCCCCCCCCACTGTGTTGGCAGTGGTTGTTTTGCATACGAATTTCTTTTATTTTTCAAACTAAAATTACTTTAATTGCTTTGTTATAAGTTGATTTTCAAGGGTCTCATTTAAAGAAATGGTGATAAGTAGATTTTCCTTTATGCATCTTTTTAGCTCTCCATCAAGAAAACCCTGTTTTTAAATTTTTCATGACAATCCTTCCTTTTGAGTATTAGTTTTTCAAGAAATTCAGTGTTGACCGTGGTCTTTATAGCTCCTTCATCTTTTTTTCCTTGCTTATTATTATTCATATTCAAGGATGAATTCTTGTGTTAATTTATCTTTCATGCATGATTCACTTGTGCCTACGTACTTCTTTCTATGGTTCTGAATGGCAAAACAAGTTTCAAAATAAAAGAATATTGATGAGATCTAATAGAGGGTTGATTTGATTAAATAAAGCCACCCTTAACTTTATTTCAGTCTGTGTTTTCATTATTCTTTGTTCTGAAAGTATACAAGCAAAATTACTAGTTTCATTAAAAATAGAAGTGGTTAAAAGTATCTCATCTTGCTTGTGTAAGTAGTAAGAGCTTTAGAAGTTCTACCTTGCTATTTTCAGCATGTTATTGCCAAATATTCGTTTTCATCAATCTTGAAAAGTCTGTTTTCAATGAAAGCACAAAGAATCATCGACTTTGCATGACTTTAAAAAACTGTAAACAAGATGTGTAATTAAAATTTTAATTGTTTAAGCTTATAAATATTTAATCTTGCATAGTCTCAGTAAAAATATAGTATATATCTATATATAAATCTCAATTATAATATATACTTTTTTTAGCAAAATGTGATGTATATCTCAGTAGAAATATAATCATTGTAATTTTCTTATTACATATAGTATTTTCACATCATTACCAATTATAAACTCAGTTTATATAATAAAGATAGAATTATGTCATGCAGTTATGTCTGAGTTAAAGAACATGAATTTTTACAGATAACTGAATGAGATGGATCATTAAAAAATAGTTTGTATGCCATAAAAAAGTCCTGAGTTTTATGAGACCTGGATATGCAGTATATTATTTAAAAATTTTCAAAAGTTTCTAGAAAAATATATTCTATATATTCTTTCATATAAAATTTATGCTTTATAATTGAATTGATTTGAGAGGGATTTCAATGGAGGGGCACTGCAGGCCACGTTATTTCAAGTGAACTGAAAAATTTTGTAAAATTTTACAAACATCATCTTCTAAAATTTATTTCATCCCTTTTTAGACTTGTCTTTTATCTTGGCATAAGAAGCAAAAACATAGTGTGTGTGTCTGTGTCTAAGGAAAAGGACGTAGCAAGCAATGGTGGCGTGGAAACAGGTGGTGATGTAGATGGAGAAATACAGCATTTCCTCGTTGTAATAAAGCAAGAGACTTAGAAGCATTTATGTTGTATAAATATTGATTGCACAGATACGTAGAAAATTTACTGCCGTAGAAATTAAAATTGTAAATCCATAATGAATAGGAAACTGTCAACTGAAGCAGGTTAAATCTTCATTTTTATTGTAAAAAAACATGGCACGATCACAAACAACTTAGCACACTACTTGTGCCTATTTAAAAATATTTACATTTTTAATAGTTTGCAGTAAGAAGATAGCAGCAGGCACAGTCCAGTTAGACTGAAGTGAAGCAACTGCGGTTGTGTTCAGGATGAAATCGAGTTAGTTTCGGTTCTCAATGCATTGGATAATCAATACTGCTGTAAAACTATTACTAGCTGTTTGAGATTTAGTTTTGAGTACATCATCAGCATTATGCAATAGTCTTGAAATGATACAGTGCATACAAAGATTACTATTTTTATATTACAGAGAGGATATAGCAAATTAAAATTAAACATCAAGAGACTATTGCAGATTTAAATTATAATTTATCTTTTACATATTTTTTTTTCCCTTATGCGTACCCCCTTTCCTCTGGGCCCTTCAAGGAAAAAAGGGCCTAGCTACAGAGAAACCTTTTTAAGGAAAAAGCATTAAAGTAGTAGCAAATGAAGAGAAATATAAATCATACAATTAAGATATAAATAATTAAATAATTGTAAATTTTATTATTTGAATATAGATTCTTTAAAAACTATAAATTTTTAAAGAACTAGATATATTAAAATATATAAGGATTCAGAGAATTAAATGGGTAGGACACCTGTGTAGAATGGATGAAAATCATGTAACTAAAAAGATCTTTTCGGCCAGATCATTTGGCATCCGAAAAAGAGGAAGATCTAAACTTAGGTGGCTCGATTGTTTGGAAACAGACTTGAGAATTTTAACATAACTATTAATTACAATATCTGCGCATGCCGCACAAAGGGTTTTTTTTTTTTTTTTTTTTTTTTTTTTTTTACAAGCGTAAAGCAAAGAAAATAAAAATGTTCACAAAACTGAGTGAAACGTTAAATTTGCTAACATCGTGCTTATTTATGGCAAAAATATCCCAGGCCTTTTTAGAACCTTTTCGGAACCTTCCCTTCTGATGAGTAAGTGATTTCTTACTCACCCTTGCAGTGCCCGCTCCACCGCCCTCTCTCGTCTTAATCTTACTGATATGTCCACTTCCTCCCACTCGCCATTGTTAGTTTAAGCCTGTTAGTGTTTGCGAACCGGTCGGAGTTCATTTTGTATCTTTTATTGTGTTCAGTGCTTGTGCTTTTTGGTTTTGTGTTTTTTGTTACAGATTTAAAATGTCAGGAAAACGAAAGAAGGTTGTGTTGACGATTGCACAAAAACTAGAATTAATTTCCAAAGTAGCAATACAAGGCAGCAGATGGAATTGGATTATGGAATCGCAGAAACAACAGTGCGTGACATTCTAAAGCAAAAAGCCAAACTGGTGAACTTTGCATCAATGTCGGACAGTGCTTCTGCAATGAAAACGTGAAAAACTATGAAGGGTTCTACCTTTGATGAGCTAGACACGGCATTGACAAAGTGGTTAGCTCAAGTTCGAAAAGAGGGTACTCCTGTAAATGGTCCTATTATTGCGGTGAAGGCAAAATCCTTTTTTGAGTTGTTAAGCCTGAAAGGAAATTTTGATGCGTCTTCTGGCTGGTTGACTCGTTTTAAGCAGCGATATGGAATTTGAGAAATTGGACTTCATGGGGAGAAACTTAGTGGACACAACAAACGATTTCCACATTTGAAGAATTTTTTTAAAACAAGAGCCAACGATTTCCACCATGAATTTGAAGAATTTGTTTTAAAAAAAGAGCTATCTTTTGAACAAATTAAATGACGAATCGGGACTTCTCATCAACTTCGCATTTGAAAGCATGAAAGTAAAGCGCAGGTCATATAAACATCAGCAGAATCAACCAAACATGTCTTCTTGCAGTAACGCTACCGGTGGACATAAACTTAGACTTGTTGTCATGGGAAAGTTTAAAAAAAAAAAAAAAAAAAAAAAGATTTTTCAAAGGCACAAGGATAGAAAATTTGCCTGTTGATTTCTTTAACTTACAAAAAAAAAAAAAAAAAAAAAAAAAAAGGATAGATGAACCGAAACATTTTCCAAGAATGGTTCGAAAAAATCTTTGTTCTTCAAGTGCGTAAACATCTTAAATCGAAAACCCTGCCTGAAAAAGCTGTGCTTTTGATCGACAACGCACCTTCTCTCACAGCAACAAGCGTGCTAAAGTCTTCTGATGGACAAATTTTTACAAAGGTTCTCCCCCCAAATGTTACTGCACTAATCCAACCCATGGACCAGGGAGTCAATGCAACAAGGAAGAGAACATACATAAGCGTTAGTTAAACATTTCCTGCTGTTTATTTTACGTTTTATTGTACATAAAACGATTTTTCAAAGTTGGAAATACTGTTTTCTCTTTTGCTATACCCGTTTTTAGCTTTTTCGGATTATCCACGATTTTGGTTATCCGTGGCGGCCGCGCCACCCAATTCTGCGGATAATCAGGAGTGTACTGTATTTTAATTAACTGCAACACATATAAAAAATTATGACAGTAATTTTCATAATGATATGTTTCAACTTCATAAAATATATGAGCAGTAATATTGCAGAAATTATGGTTTCACTGTTATTATCTTTCATTTATAATTCCTTACTGTACCAAACTGGAAGGTGCCATAGTACTTCCAGCATATTCACTTGAGCTAACTAATGTGTTTATTCTGCACCAGTAATTCTGGGGTTCTATAGCAGTTTGAAAAGATCACCATTTCTTGCATAAGGTAACCGGCCTTTGTAAACTGCAGTAATACATTCCATAATAAAAAAGTATAAAAATAATTATAACATGTAAAAAAATTATACTCAGTCATAAAATGAAAGCCCTTCAATGTTATCTTTTATGAGGCTGGTAAAAGGAATAATTATACAGAGGTAATACTAGGCCTCTGTTTTGGAACCAGTACTTCCTCAACATATTCTATGTTTAACATACAATCATCCTTAAATTTTAACATACATTTCCCATAATTTCATATTACTTATCTGCATTAATTTCACTTATTTTTTATATTCACTTGATTCTCAGAATACTTATAAAACTTTTAACGTTAATTCAAACATTTAAAAAATAACTCAAAATTGTGATGATTAATGCTATTACAATTTAATAATCTTTTCTGAAAAAATATTTATTCTTTACTTATTTTATTTAAAAATAGTTATTTAAATTTGTATTTCTAATACCATAAAATTTTAAATTAATGAGTTATTTAGTTCACGGTCATTAAAAAAATGTAAATATACTCTATTGGCAAAAAATATAAAATAAATGCCCCAACAAAAATTAATTAATACGAAACCCTTAAATGAAAACATCAGAAAACTAATGTGTTTTCATTCTTGAACACTATTTTTTTTTAATAATCTCAAAACAAATGAAATCAAATTGTAAAAGTTTTAATTAAAACACATCATGCAAAATTTAAAACCCATCACTTTTGTTTAACTGAAAAAAGTCATTTGATACATTTTGACCGAAAGAAAATGATTGTGGATAAAATATCTGTAAAGCTGAATATTAGAAACACAATAATCACAAGCAGATGGTAGAAATTTTCCCACTCATGTGCAAAATAAATGATACTAATACTTATGATCTAATGACTGGGATGCTAAATCATTTTTTAGTTGATTGTTTTTTGATTTCATGTAATTTTCATTAAAATAACATATATAAAACACCATATACTTATTTCACCAAAATTATAAGTATATTTTTGGAGGTATTCTGCCTCGGTTCTAGCCAGTCTTACCCATGAGTTTTCTATTATAATTTGAATCTACCAATCTAAAGTTAAAAAAAAAAATCCTCTTTTCTAATTTCTTGCTCTCTCAGACCTGCTGTAGATTTTTTGTTGCATTTATATATTTATTTGAAATTTATTAATTATGAATTTCAATTTCTGGTCTTTGTGAAATATTAGTTCTAAATTTCTTACTTTATGTCTTTAATGATAATTTTTCTGCAGCTTAATACATGAAAATACTAGACAAGTTTGTGTTTTGTTTTCAAAAGAATTGTTTTGTAATAATATATATATATAATGCTGTCCACTGATGCAAAGATTTTATTTCAACAATATTTACTTCAAAGTGAGGAAATGTGCAAAAAATTTGAATTATATGTTGAAAAAGTGTTCTTAAAATTCACATGAATAACCTCTAAAGAATTCATTGGCAAAATTTCATACATCTGAGTTTTTGCCTCTGTATTATGAGATGCACATATGCAGACAGATGAATACTTTCTTTTATTAGTAGATAAGACTGAATTTTGGAAAAGAGCTTCTTCCAACCTGCTGCGAGTTACTGTCTTGGTGGTATTAAATAATTAGGCTTTCATAGATCTTTCACATAATTAGTACATCTAGTAACATTTTATTTTGCATTTTTATTATTTCTGCTGCATGTATTTTTATAAACAGATATGTGGGCTGGCATTACGATTTTGTTTTGGATCTGATTAAACATGATACATAGCATCCAAAAACTTGTGCATATGCTATGCATTTTCCTTCCAGTACGCTCTAGGTATATTTTATCTCTACCTTGTTTTATTTTAGAGCAATTTTATTGCCAATTTTTGACAAGCACATTTTAAGTTCCATCGAAATTTGTCTGCAGAGAAATTAGTCTTTAAGTTGAAACATATTGTTAGTATATGTCATTAAATTATGTACTTTATAAGAGATCAATATAAAATGTGTTAATGTAGAATAAAATATTTTAATTCTTAACACGTTTAAAATATTTTTAAGCTGCCAGAGGTTTCAACAGTGCATCTCAGGGCTCTGCAAGTATTCTATCTTTTCCATCATTTGACAATCAGGCATCAAAAGACAGAAGAGCTTTTTACAGAGAAGAATTGCGTAAACAAGTGGGTGTATTTCGGATTTTCATTTTATGTGCATTTATGAAGTATTTCTCTATTAAAGCCTTCCCAGTAGATTTCAGTACTTAAATCACAAGAGAATGTTATAGTTAATTCACAAAACAAGAAATTATGCTATCTATGAAATAAAAAATGAAGTACACAAAAAACTAAAGAGTTCAAACAATTTACATTGAAAGATATGTTTACTAAAACAAATACCGAGTTTTATTAAAAATTGTTATTATTATTTTATTTTTTATTTTCTTAAGATCATAAATGATTTACTATTGCATATTTTTTAGTTTTAGAATTTCTGCTTGTCATCTTACTAGATCTAAACTGATAACCTAAAAGTGGGAAATTTCTAAAATCTGAAATCTGGGACCAAATTTTGTACTTTATTTCCTTTTTGTGCTTACTCCTATGGATGTGTGATATTTCTTCTTAGAAATACACATTCTCCTATTTAATATTTGAAAATAAATTGAACAAAATTTTCCTTTCTTATAGACAGTATTATTATTTTAGTGTTTGAAATAATACACAATAAATTGTATTCCATTTGATTTGACTTTATGTATATGCTATAACCTAAGAAATTATTTAACCACAATAATTGAGAATTTACTACTGTATTAAGTAAAGTCTAAAATCTGTTAATAATAAGCGAGAGAGAGCTAATATTAACTTCAGTAGCAGACTTTACAGCATATTTTATATGGTTTTAAAATTGAACGTGCGGATGTAGGATAACAACATTTTTAAAGTAATTCAACGAAACAGATTAAAGACAAAAGACTTGTTCTTCTATTTCAGTATTAAATAAAATCTTAGACGAATTCTGCAATTAGCTGCAACCTCCCTAGTTCAAAGAACTATAATTTGAACATAATGTGAAACAAAATGCTATGCATGTCATAAGTCTCATGCAGGATTCGCCACTGAATTTTGCTCACTTACTCATGACCAACCACACAGTTTTCTAGACCAAACATGGTGATCTAGTTATCAAATGAAATATCAGTAACTAACATTTTTAGGAATGAAATTATTAAGAACGGTGTAAAAGTTAAAACTTGTAACCTATTACAGGAAAGCAAATAAATGAAAAAATATATATATTTATAATAATTAAGATATTGACGATAAGTGGATGAAAAGAGCACTTGCAGAAGAAGTGTCCAATTTAAGATTTTTTTTTTTTTTTTAATTCTTGAGAAATACATTCTTAATTTGAGCTACATAGTGCAATGACTGCATATCTGTTTTTTGATCACATTTGTAACTTTTCAACATCTTCATAACAACAAATTTTATTTATTAGATGGTGCCACTAAAACACTATTTACTTCCTTGTACGAAGTAAAAAGGAAGTATTGTAATTGCGAAAAGTTTCAGGCAGCATATTTCAACGAAAATATCCCATTTTGACCTCTTTCAAATGCAATTTAACAATGTATTTCTGTGATATCTATATGTAAGGACAGAATAAAACACTCTTTTCCTCCAAAAAAATTATAAAACAGCTTTAAAATGAATTCTGAAGATAATTTTTTGTGGTGTCTGTACGAACGTATGTACGTACGTATCTCGCATAACTCAAAAACGAGTAGCCTGAGAACGTTGAAATTTTGTATATAGGACTGCTATAACATGTAGATGTGCACCTCATATTTTGGTTGCAATCGACCGCACCAAAGGTATATAAATATATTTATATATGTATATATCTACTCTATTACCCGGCTCAGTGATCTCAGTTTCTTTACTCTTATATGTTTGTAAATTGTACATTTTTTGCTTTAAAAATGATTGAATTATGTTGTTCTTATCTTCCGGTTAAGGTTTTTATGCCTTTAGTAAATCTGTATGCAATATTTTTAGAATTATCAACAGTTTTAAAATTGTTTTTAAGTGCCGCTAAGCCTAATAATTTTTTTGATGGCGGCCATTGCTCTTGTTTACATATGAAACAGCAGGATAGCGGATTTGTTACCAATCTAGAGAAACTTAGCTTCGCAACAACAAAGATAATGCCTTCATTTATTATTTAAATCATGCTTAATCCTTTCTGGAATTTTTTTGAGGAAATAAGCGTTTAAGATTTATTTCGTAATTTTTAATACAGATATTTTGAGTTTTTATGTATTTTTGCCTTGTCGCGAAGTGAAAACTGAATTAATTGAATGAGAAATACTCAATTGTCTGTGAAAAACTGTTTCTTTTTTGTTTTGTTTGCCTAATTTCTTTTATTCATCGTTCTAGCTTTATTATAGTATTTGAATAGAACATGTGGCAACAATTAGATAATTCTTTAAATTATATAAATTTTGTACATTCTGAGTTACAATATGAACGAAATATAATACCGTTAAGTGAACCTAGCGCCAGAGTGTCGCTATGGTAAACAAAGTGAATTTTAAAGAATGCATTAATTCTATTGTGGTTTATGCGGTGTCGCCGAAGTATGTTTAATTCAATCTAATAAGTTTAAATGAAATGCAAGAAAAAATGCATATAATTTGATATTCCGTACAAGGAAGTCATGTGGTGTAAACATCAGATTTTTTTTAAATATGAAATTGAATGTAAATAATTTTAAAATATGCAAGTGAAAATGATTCCATTAAGAAATTTAATAACCTCTTGAATTTTAATTCCATTAAATTCCTTCCAGTTTTACAAAACAAAAGCAGAAGTAGCCTTTAGAAGTACTCTTTTTACGAGTTGTTCTGCCATATACATTATGAATGTCACGTAGCATGCCCCAAAAATAGTAATCACTTTATTAATGGATCTCCAACATGCTTCTGCAAGATAATATTGAAGCATTTGCTGTCTAGTACGCTACATGCTGTAGGAAATTTTTAGTTTCAAAATCCCCCAGCACAGTTCAGTTGTTTGAGTATTAGTACGGTCTCCTGTCAGTTCTGTAGATTGTACTAACGATACCTGTAGATGGCAATGAAAGAAATGATTGAAATAACAAATTTTACTGGCATCATCTAAAAAATAAGTACTTAACTAAAAGTGGTAGATCACATACTACAATATTACCGATATTTTAGCACATATTTTTCAGTAACTTTAAGACATCCATAGGAGTAAGCACACAAAGGAAATAAAGTACAAAATTTGGTACCAGATTTTAGAAATTTCCCACTTTTAGGTTATCAATATAAATCTAGTAAGATGACAAGCAGAAATTCTAAAACTAAAAAAAATATGTAATAGTAAATCATTTATGATCCTAAGAAAATAAAAAATAAAATAATAATAATAATTTTAAAAAACTCAGTATTTGTTTTAGTAAACATATCTTTCAATGTAAATTGTTTGAACTCTTTAGTTTTTTGTGTACTTCATTTTTTATTTTATAGATAGCATAATTTCTTGTTTTGTGAATTTACTATAACAATCTGTGCTTTTTTCTCCCTCTAGTAACATTATTTAGCATTTATTTAAACAATTAACTGTGATTTTGAAAACACCACTTAATGTACTGCATTCATCATTGCTATTTATGAATTATGTGTGTTTAAAATTTCCTTCCTCCCATATATGCTTAAATTAGAAAATTTAATTTTTATAATTTAAGCACATATGGGAGAATAAATAAGATAGTCATATTTTGAATATCTATTTATTATCCTTGATTTAATGACAAAAATATTTATATTATTGAATGAATATTAAATATATAAATTTTTAATTTCCTAATATATATTTCTAAGATAGAAGAAAAGAAGAGATTAGAAGCTTTGGAAAAACAACGTGCACGTGAGCTTGAAGAAAAGATAGCTCAGAAAATTGAGGAGGACAGACTACGTATGCTGAGAGAATATGAAAAGGAAATGAAGAAAAATAACAAAATAGAAGAAGAAGTAAGTTTTATAATGTCTATAGGACTACTCAAACAGAATAAGATGGGGGATAATAATCATGATTATAAATGCAGCGTTTGAAATCTCGAACCTTTTTGTGAAATTTAATGTGATACAAAATAAGCAACACTTAATATGCATGAACTTCTTAAAAATTTAAATCCTCCCCCCCCCCACTAAGTAGAAAATTAGTAGAAAATGGGCAACAGTTTTTAATTGTCAAGTGTTGCAAAAATATATACAAAACTGTGGTGGCTTTGCCATCATCCCATCTGATTTTATTTCTTTTATATAATGCCTTTTTTCATATTTTTCCCTCTCTTTTTTCAAATTGCAATTGGTTTCGTATGATAATTCTTTTATGTAGTTATATTTCTGTGTTAAAATTACGTTCAAATTACTCTGATTTTATTTTGAAATCCATAGGTATTATTAAAAAGTTACCATCTATCTATTTTATATTTTCATAGGTTTGTAATGGTTCTTAGATTCATCTTGTCTAAATATATAGATATGTTTTAGTCTTAAAAATTTCTTATTTTGATAGTTTCGTCGTCAGCAAGAAAGGCTTCAAATGTTGGAAGAATTTCAAAGAAAAGATGCTGAAATGCGTAAGAAAAAATTTTCAGAACCAAAAGAATCAAGAAAAGAGATAGTAAATGTAAGTGTTTACTAGTAGGCTTTTAATAAATTATTTCCATAAGTCGTTAAAATTATTTAAAAATTTCTGTTGCATTTTGACTGTGTGTTAATATCAAACATATAAAATACTTTTATTAAAATATCAGAATATGCATTAATATAAATGCTTCTTATTATTATTTCTAATGGCAGGAAGACATAAGATTAAAAAATACATAAAAAGAAAAGAAAAGCAGCTTAACATAAAAAATGGCAGTTTAGAAAATCAGAACAACTCTGTCATGGAAAATGGAATGTGAAAGAATTAATGTGAATAAAACTTGTAATAAATGAGAATAAAACAGTATAAAATATCAGCAATTGTGCTTCTATGGTGTCCATGGGTGTAATTTTTGTTTTATAGTTTATGCACTTAACATAATTTATAGGCTGTACCTTTTCTGTGTGATGATTCTTGTATTTAATATGAAAATTCTGTATAGAAGGATTCTTGATGTTACACATGGGGAAAACCACGAAAACACACATGCAGCCAGCCCATTCGCGAAGATTCAAATCCCGGACCAAACTACCAGTGTTCAGCGACTTTTTCGCTTGGCCGCTGGTGGCTCCTTCTTAATAAATAGTAATTTTTGTTGTAAAAAAAATAATAATAATCTCCAGCAGCTTAGCAGTAAGATTTCTGAACACTGGTAGTTCGACCCTGGTTAAAATTTGAGTGAATGGCCTGGCTGTATGGGAGTTTTCGGGATTTTTTCCCGTATTTAAAATGAATATGATCAAGTTTCCTTGAAAAGGTTTAAAAGGCCTTAGGTTTCTTTAGGTAGATAGCCTTGATAATTTTTTTTTTTTTATAATCCAATAACCCTGCACATATAATACAGAATCTAAGTAATGCTTGGTGAAAAAAAGGGGGGATTGATTTATGTATTATAAAAGTAAAGGTACTTGAGTATTATCTTGTTGACCATGAAGGTGTAGCCAAACAGTGCAGTTTAGTACCAATTATGCATAAGCATATGGTAAAAACACACTTATAACATCTGCACTTTCACTGATGTAACCTTCATGGATTCTCTATAAGCTATGTATTGCTTTTATGAAGAAGGATGTAAATTAATTGTTACTGCTTATTAAAAAATTATTAAAATTTGGGACCTGCCTGCTTTATTTGGGGTATAAAATAGTAAATGTTACATTCTTTCCACAGTTATAGGATTCCTACCATCAAAAAAGTGTTTATTAATGAACATGATAAGGTCAGGCTGTTTAAAGCATGGTGTGAAAATGATATGATTATGGTCGACAAAAAAGTAATTGTTGAACAATCACCTGTGAGAAATTTTGTTCATAGCATTCTAAATAGAACTTTTGGTAAAATCTGAGGGCCTAACAAATTAGTAGAAATCAACATTTATGAAGTGCAAAAATGGTGTAGATCAAATGTTCATTGTTTCTAAAGAGATATCAGTTCCTTGAGAATCCCACAGGAACAAGAAATGAGAATTTTTTTTTTTTTTTTTAGAGTTAAAAATGAAATGTGAATTTTATAATTTTTTTGGCATTCTTTAAAAAAATAGAAGTCAGTTGAGTTTATTATTCTTTTCTCATAGTTACTTTTTTAAATCTATTTGCAAAATATGTTTTTATGGAAAGGTATGATTGCTAAAAGCATCAGCTACTTAAAATGTTAGAGCTATCTTATATATATTTGCATATTTATATGAATTGATAATTTTTCAGAGCTCTATAATGTTTTTGAATTTTTGTATGAATGAAATTGCAATTGCTATCAAATGTAATAAAGTTTTAGAATTTAACTTGCAAAAAATTTGGTAACCAGTTAATTGCATAAAATGCAAAAATTGAGTTTGATCTCATGTTTATTAGTCAATTATTTTATTTTTTGCAGCAGCAAATTTTTTATTTATTTATTTTAAAATTTTATTTATTTATTTATTTTGAAAAGGCATTCTTGCAGCAGCCTTCAAAATGAGAAATGTTTTCATTATTGCTACTGATGATCCAATTTTATATTTATTTTCATGAATTTTTTTCTAATGAACTAAAAATCAACTCATTTTACTCATGTCCAAAATTATCTTTACATACCCAAAAATGATGATATTCAATGAAATATCGAATCAATGTGATCCGTATTTGCAGGGAATGTGTGAAAACCAAGCCTAATTAGCATTATCCAATCAAAAGTAATCAAACGGTTTGTGATATGCAAATCTAGGCGTTACGTCATCCTAGGGTGAATCAAGCGCTTTGCGCAAACTAAATATTTGAGTGAATTTCTGCAACATAGCGTTTGATTTCAGTGTGTAGGGACTCAAAGCGGTTTGTTATGGCTTCGAAGTATCATTTGGAAGAATCTGTATAGTGGCAAATTATCGGCCGTTTAAAAGCAGGGCAGTCAATCATGGAAACAGCCACATGTTTGAATATTTCAAGACAGACAGTCTCTAAGCTATGGAAACAGTTTCAAAATGATGAAGTGTTGTAAGAAGGCCTGGACAAGGTCAGAAACGAATGACAACTTCTTCTGAAGATCGGTATCTGGCATTAACTGCCCGTCGTAACAGAAAGACTATTGCTCGCCAGTTAAATTCAGAGCTTGCAGCCGTCACTGGAACTCTTGCATCATGGCAAACAATATACAGAAGGCTTGATGAAAAAGGCCTGTATGCCAGAAAGCCAAGGGTATGTGTTTTACTGTCTTCACAGAAAAAGAGGGATCGCTTTAATTGGTGTAAAGAACATCAAAACTGGACTGAACATCAATGGTCCCATGTTCTCTTTACTCATGAGTCGTGGTTTAATTTAACTGGTGATTCTAAACGTGTTTACATCTGGAGGGAGTCAGGAACACGAAATTGATCCCTCGAACGTTGTGGAACATGACCGTTTCGGTAGTGGAGGTGTCATGGTATGGGGTGGAATAATGATCGATGGACGTACGCCCCTACACGTGTTCAGCAGTGGATCTGTGACAGGCCAGATATATCGAGATGAGGTCTTAGATCCTTATGTAAGACTTTTCAGGGGTGCATATGGACCTGACTTTTTATTTATGGATGATAATGCCCGTCCACATCGAGAAAACCTCGTTGATGAATTCCTTGAAAGTGAAGACATTAAGCGAATACCTCGGCCACCAAACTCTCCTGACCTTAACCCGATAGAGAACTTATGGGACTACCTTGGAAGAGCAATTGCACGTATACATCCTCCTCCTAGAGATGTAAATGCTCTGAAGACTGCATTGCTGGAAAAGTGGAGATTAATTCCCCAAACTGTGGTTAACAACGTTATTTCCAGCTTTAAAACACGTTGTGATATGTGTGTACAAGTCAGGGGAGATCATATTCCATATTAAATTCGTAAGACTTAATTCTTTTTCTGAATCATTCCTTTTTTTCTTAACTCTCTTTGTCACACTTTATTACCATTTTTATTGTTTAATGCTACAATTTTATATTATATGAGGTGATCTTCAATTTTTTCTTTTGCATTTATGTGTCATCATGTTGTGTATGATTCCACGAAAATTCATTAAATTATAAGTCATAGTCTCTGAGAAATCCGTGAATTTATGCATGTAAACATAATTTTGGACATGAGTGTATAATAAAATTATACTGTTCTATCTCTTCTTGGCTCATGTGTATACTTTAAATGGCTTTAAAATGATTTGCACATGAAGAGACAAAAGTGTTTGGAGAATAATATATAGATCCTTTGTCACAGTAGGTTCATATGAATGCCTTCATTTTTCTTCACGCTGGCGCATTATTTTATGATATGCAAGAATGTGGCTACTAAATAAGGAGGCTCTTATTATGATTTAATTTTAATGTAGAATGTTTCCATCTAGTATATTCTTTTCATGCATTTATGTATCATTACACTTCCACTAAACAACCCAGTAGTCTTCCACTAAACAACCCAGTAGTCTAAGTTACTGTTTTCTTGTGTGTACAAGTCACACTTTTTTCACAAAAAAAGGCAGGCAAAATTCGGGTGGAGCTTATATAGGCAAATGCTAAAAAATAGGTAAACATGTGGCAACATAACATCGCATATTTAATAACTGAGTACGAAATCCATTATTGTTGGCTGAACGTCACATGGAATTGTACAAATTTAGTTATGGTTGTAGGTCATTTAAAGGAAAATGTTGGGCAAAGGATTTAGCTGCAAGTCTGCTAGATGATTAAGTTACTAATATGAAAATATTTTCTTTTGTTTAATGTCTAAATTAATTTTTATGCATGTTTATATAAAAAATTAAATTAATTAAATTTGTAAAATTTCTTATTCAAAAGGTCTATTTCCCAGTTTCTTTCCTTTTCTTTTTCTTTTTTTTTTTTTAAATTTGAAGAACATTTTTCTAAGTAGAGTTAGTTATCAAATAAAACTAAGACTATTGTTTTATAATCGATTTTAAAATATTAATAGTACACTCCTAAAACATTATTTTAATGAAAGAATTCATTTCAATTATCTTTATGATTTACATCAATATAATCTTCATCTTCATATAGTTATATCTAAATATGCATAAAATTTATTCAGTCATATATACATTTTATTTTTTCAAGTAACATATTAATTTTATGTGTGTGTGCATGTCTATGTGTACTTTTGAGTTTCCTTTTTATAATATGCATATAAATTGTTAGGAAGAGAAAAAAAGAAGTAATTCTCCTCCAGTACCCGCCGTTCGAACTAAAGAGTTACTAGAAAAAGCCGTTTCTCCTACTGCAGTAGTAACTTCACCTTTAACTGAAGGTAATATCTTTCTTCTTATCAGAGCTATTTATTATACACATGCAGCTGATCTCAATTATAGTAAGCATAGATATATAGTTGCCAACTTTCCCAGTTTTTTATAAAAGGAGGCTATAAGTTTTTTTATCACAACTCACATCTCTTGTTTTTTTATTTTCAGCTTTTCCTATTTTCGGCTTATTTAGGAAAATGTTTTTTTATTTTCAACTTATTGAGGAAAATGTTTCCCACCAATAAATGAAATTGTACAAATTCAGTTTTACCAGAACCAGTGATTTTCAGCATAATTTTTCTTTTTCAAATTTATTTAATTTGAATTTTCTTGATCTACTGTAGGTATTTGTAGGACTTCTTATGAAATTCAACCAATGCTTAATCAATATTAATATTTGTGTTTAGTTTTGCTTTGCATCAGTGTATGGCACATGACTATTAAGTTTATTTCCATCATACTTAAAAGTACTTTGATAAATAAAAGCTGCCTTTCCTACTCAGGTTCTTAGTATATAGTATAAGAGGGTAAAAAACCTACAAAATGAAATTAGCCAAAAAAGCATAAAATTTAAAATATCTAATTAAATATTAATATATTTTACATCATATTCATATTGTAAATAGTTCAGTCACCTGAATCACGCATTATTAAGTAAACTCAGTTTCAACTGCTTTTGAAATGGCATTAAGCAGCAGTTCAAAAACTCGCAGAATCTCATCCTTCAAGGTTGTCAGCTATGTAACTATGAAAAGTTCAGACTTTTTATATACTGATGAGAAAAAACATTATGACCATCCCTACATTTTTCAATGAACTTGTCTGAATGATGTGGAGGGCATATGATTAAGTGGAAATGGTATTTAACTGCTGCTGGAGAAGATAAGGAATTACTCTTGCATTTACATTTACTAGTGATGGAAAAGGCTGCTAATTTAAGTGTGTTTGATAGAGGCTGAGTCTTCAGGCCTGTAATGGCCTGAAGACTCAGAATGGGTATCTGTGAAACTGAATGACTGTTCACAAGCTGCCATTGTTAGTATTAATGCAAAGGGGATAAATGAAGGTGAAACCATCAGCAGATGCCAAAGTCTTGGATGTCCATCTGTTGTCAAAGCAAAAGGACTCTGTCTTCCCAACTCTAAATATAATCTTCCAGCAGGACAATACCCCATGTTACAAGGCTCGAATTGTGTTGGAGTGGTTCAAGGAACATAAGTATAAATTCCAGTCAATGTCCTGACCACCTAACTTGCCAGATTTTAATCCAATAGAGCATGTTTGGTATGTCATGGAGTGGCAGCTCAAAGTTCAAGCACCGTTATATGAGAATGTCTAGAATTTGTGTGGCGGAACTGCTTGTATTGCAGAATCAGTGTCAAGCAGTGGCTCAGCTGATAGCCCAGTAGAATGCAGGTCCAAGTGCAAGTGTTTTGGAATATACAGTTAATCAGACGCTGTTGGATATGGGACTGCGTACCAGACGTATCACTCGTCTGCCTCTGTTGACCAAGTGTCATTGTCAACTATGCCTACGGTAGGCCTGAGAACTTCTAGACTGGACCATAAATAAGTGAAAAACAGTTGCCTGTTTGGATGAATCATGATTTTTCATTCATCACATCAATGATCGTATGAAGGTACACCGTCTTCCAGGAGAACAGCCCCCATACAGCAGGTCATGCATAGGCTGAGGTGGCGGTATTATGCTTTGAGGAAAGTTCTCACAGGTGGCTCTCAGACCCTTAGTTGTGGTAGAACAGACCATGAAACCCGCAGAGTATTTGAGCATAACTGCAGATCAGTTACACCTTACTCTGTCTTCCCAACTCTAAATATAATCTTCCAGCAGGACAATACCCCATGTTACAAGGCTCGAATTGTGTTGGAGTGGTTCAAGGAACATAAGTATAAATTCCAGTCAATGTCCTGACCACCTAACTTGCCAGATTTTAATCCAATAGAGCATGTTTGGTATGTCATGGAGTGGCAGCTCAAAGTTCAAGCACCGTTATATGAGAATGTCTAGAATTTGTGTGGCGGAACCTGTCTCCAGTCATCTACCAAGAACTTGCGACTGTGTTCATATGGGTTTTTTCAGAAGCAGTGTAATACCACTGTTCAATTTCAGTAAGATTGTGTATTTCTGATATCCGGTTTGCAACAAGCATCTTGAGCAGATGAGGCTCTTTTTTAACCCATAAACAACATAATCATGGAATCACTCCAAAGGTAAATAATGGAAAGCATCAATTTCGATGATACTCTCAATGCATTAATTTAAATAGGAGAACTGCTGTGCAGAGCTAAAGTCTTAGGATTTTAATCTTCTTCTGGGGGAAACATGAGATTTACTATGCGCTCTTCTCTTTTCTCCTCTCATCTTGATGCAATATTTGATGCTGATGTGGTTTTGGAGGTTTCAGAGAAACCATGTAACTGTCTTGATTGTATCTGGAAGCATAATATATCTATTGACTTCAGTGTTATTATTTAACTGCAGGGTAATGGAAAATTCTTTCCATTCTTTAACCTCCTTTTCTGGCAGAATAGCATTCTAATTCAGTTTTAATAACATAATTTCTGCATGGATATCTCTGCTATAATTGTAGATGGGGATCATCTACAATTATAGATACGAGATATAAAGGATAACACTTACCATTTAGTGACATTTGTGTTTTATTGAGTTTAATATTTTTTAAATCTCTCCATAATTGAGAATAAGTCTTCTTGTATTACATTGCCATTTGTAAAAATCCCCATTAAATACTACTTTTATGCGAGTCAACTTTTTCTTCTTCTCTATGTACTCCAATATGAAGAATGTAATATGTATCTTGTTTTCCCTTGCTTTCACTAATCTCAAGCATGTGTCTTAGCTGTTGACATTCTTTTAGAAAACATGACTATATTTTCAATGCTCAGGATTCTTCACTAACCCCTTCCATAAGGAATTTCATTTACTGATCGCAGTCTGTTTGGAACTTTCTAAAGTAGCTTGAGTACTTCAAACTATCATACTGAATATTCTCCTAACAACAATTTAAGAAAATGTAACTTGAAATATATGAAAACAATATTAATTGACCAACAATCTTCGTTTACCAGCCAGTAAATACATCAAAAGCTGCTACTATTACTATGTTTAAGATTGCACATATACTTGCAATGTATAAAAAACCTTTACAGGATGGTAACATAAGTAAAGAATCAATGCTTACTGCATCAGAGGTATTATTTTAAGAATTTAAAAATAACAAGAAAATTATGTTAGCTATCCAGAAAGTTCAATTTCCAGAAATTCAGTAACTCGTAGAATAGAAGCAATGTTTGTGAATATCGGAGAACAAATAAAAGATGTTTTTCTAAGTTTACAGTGTGATGAATCAACAGATATCCGTAATGTAGCGCAAATCAATATATTTATAAGGATTATTTTCAACGATATACTGTCAATTTTGCCATTAAAGGGCATACACATGGATATGACATATACCAAGTTATTAAAAATCATATTATAGGAAATTAATATTCCTCTTTAAAAACTTGCAATCATAACAAAAGATGGCATGCCTGCCATGATTGGTTCTGTTGTTGGCTTCATCACTTTGGAAAAATGATGCTGAGTTTCCAAATTTTTTTCATTACTACTATATCATACATCAACAGGTATTATGTGCAAAAGTCCTGCATTGTGATCACATAATGAGAGTTGTTCTAAAAATTTTCAGTTCTATTCATGCCAGACCACTTCAGTGCAGATTATTTAAAAGAAAGAAAAAAAAAAAAAAACTGACCGATGAACTTGGTGCTAAGTATGGACTGTAATGTTACGTTCTGAAATTAGATGGCTTAGTAAAGGAAAAGCCCTGCAATACTTTTTAAAACTTCTTCCAGAGATAAAACAGTTTTTGAAAAATATGTAGAACTTAGTGATCATAGCTGGTTATGTGATTTAGCCTTTCCCACAGACATTGTAACTGAAATGAATATACTCACTCTTGAACTTCAGGGAAATTGAAAAACTATTATTGAATTAATAGGAAGTATCAATGCATTTAGATCAAAATAAAATTTGTGGATGGCCCAAATAAAGAGATGTAACTTTGGTCATTTTACTAAGCTGTAGTATTATGTTAAGAGATATGAGGTAATTGAAACCAATAAATACTTTGAATCTCGCTGAGGTCAAAGATGATTTTGAAATTAGATTTTTTGATTTTCATAAAATTGAGCTAATTGCTTTATTCATTTTAAATCCATTTGTTAATAGTAATATTCTGAAATATCACAGCAAATTTCAAAAATGGTAAATAAAAAAGCTACTAATTTGAGATGGAAATAACAGATTTTCAATCAGATTTGCAAATGATTGCAATTTGTTTTTCAACAATGAACTTGTTAAAATCTAAGTTGAGATCCAGGATAACTAATGAACATCTGAATGACTGTATGAATTTAGTTATAGCATCGTATGCACAAGAGTACAAGAAACTGTCAGAAGAAATGCAATGTCAAGTTTTACATTAATGGTTTCTTATATTTAATTTGTAATTGAATTCTTAATAAACTACACATTACAAAAACATACAGAAGAAGAAGATGAATTTTACTACTTTTTAATTATTTATATATAATCTGTTAAAGTAGCAGCTGCAATTTAAATAGCAGTTGACAGTGAAGAACCTGTGGGATTTTTTTTTTTTTTTTTACAAAGTGTTTTTTCTAGTTTGGATATTGATTTAATTTATGTAGCCAAATAAATTTATTCTCCAGCTTAAACTGCTTGAAAATACAGAAACTGCTAATAGTATTTTTCAATTAATTATAATACAAGTTATTCCTTTTTCCTGCATTTTTTAATTATCCTTAGATTTCCCATGGCTGTGGTCCTGGTATTTCCATGATTCATTTATATTTTGAATAAATTGTATTTTCTATTATCATCAAATTATTTAGCATAGCTGTTGAAAACTTGTGTTGTTTTCTCATTTATTTTTTATTTCTTTCAATGACTCAGTTAAACCTGGAAATGTGTATAGTTGTTTAGCTGAAATAAGGCGCTCTATAATGCAAGATCAGCAAAAGTTAAAGAAAGATTTCAAGGTAATTAATTTCCTTTTATTTCTAAAATATAATTATGGTTTTTTTTATTTATTATTATTTTTTTATGTAATTTGCTTATTCAGAACAAATCTCTTTTAGCTTTGAATTTGCTTCTTAATATATCTTTGCTGCATTGCTTTCATTACTTTTCTATAGCAATCAAAGCACTCTTTGAAATTTTAATTAAGAATAATGAACTTCAGATAGGTATACTAGTGTTTTGTAAAAAATATTGTATTTACTCGCATATTTTCTCTCTTTTCCTACTAATATTACTGCTTGAAAATCGGCGAAGAAAAACGTGTGTGCGTACTATATATGAAGAGATTCTTTTAATGATAAACATAAGACATTAAAAAACATACATAAAACCACACTAATATTATTACATTATGCATTTCAAAAGACTCACAAATTTAAATAATATTTTATTTTACTTATACAAAATACCTTCCTATTTGTGCATATATTTTACATTGTTACCCTAAATCAGAAGTTTCTAAAGTGTTCTGAAAGAACTGGGGAGGATATGCAAGTAAATAAGGTAATAATTTTGATCATTAGCCATTTTAAGATGTATTTAGATAAAATTATTCATTATTTCTTGAGAGCAACATTTTCTGTTTCCATGAACTGAAAGTTTTGTTTCATGTTTTCGCTATACCAAAAATTAAAATTAATTTATATATAATGTATATGCATTCCTTTAAAAAGTATAAGTATTATAAAAAGTATTCATTTAATTATTTACTGGTGTCTTCATTTTTATCTGTGTACATTTGGCTACTAGAAATATGAAAACATATTAAAATGCTAGGCATTGGGTAAACTTTAGTCATGTTATAGTAACTTAATTATTTTCAGATGCATGGCAAATGCAGCGTTTATCATTCTTAACAAAATGTACTCATTGTGATATTAGCTAGAAGTCATATAGTGCTTAATATTTTTTTTTTACTGTGTACTGTAAAACTGTTAAGTTTCTGAGTGTTTTTATTATAAGTGTATTAGTGTCTTGATTATTGTCTCAAGATAGCATTGCATCCTGCTTGTGTGAGCATATATGTTGAATCATATAAATCCTCTGTTGCCCAACACTGTTGGTCAGAAAAAACACATTTTGTATGTTTCTTCAGCCAGAATAATTCAAAAAGCATTTGTTGGTGAATTAGATTTTTTAAAGGTATTTCACATTCATAAAAATCTTTCAGTTCTAGTTAATGATTCTAATTCTAATCCATCTTTTCCCTCAGCTTTTAAGGAAAGTATTTCATAGCAGTTTTTAGTTTTGATCAATAGGCCCCATTCAGACGAGGCTGTAAAGGGCATAAGTGGTTAAAACCGAGCTCCGTTGCCAAGGCAACCAGTCACTGCTACGTCACAGAATCTGGTTTAGGGCTCCTGGCATAGGGTTCCAAGTTTTCAACTTTACGCTGAGTTTGGGATAAGCGTTGACCAATCAGAGCGAAGCCAAAACGAAGCGGCTATCTTTAGACGATTTCACTATCACATCGAAGGCGACGTTTTTTTTTAATATGGAACACATCGTATCCGAATGAGTTGTAATCGTATTCGAATAAAATAATGAGTTGTAACCGTATCCGAACGAAATAAAGAGTTGATCTCGCAAGATATATACGATGATGACATGCATTTTTTAATGAGTTTTAATGTATTTTTTAATGAGTTTTTCAATTTATATTGAAAAATATGGATGAAACTCGTAAAGCGAAAGTTAAGCTGATTATGCACGCTGTGTATGATCCTGTAGATGATTGATCCCATCCAGTATTTTTCATTTTATTATGAAAATTCTTTAAAAAATGCATGTTTGCAAAAATTTTATTTTTTCTGTGTAAATTATTATTATTACTTTCTTTCTGTCTATAATTTTTTTTAATTATTACTATAATTTTTTTCCTGTTTAATTATTTTTGTATTTAAGAATAAATTTATTAAAAAAGCTGGAAATATTGTATTGCTATTTGCCTCAAATGCTGATTTTCTTTCCAAACAAACTTCATGAATTAATTTTACTAAAACATCAAATCAATATAAAAAATCTGCTGTTTTTTTTTTTCTTTTCTTTTTTAACAGTAAAAATATTACTATTTCTTAAAAAAAAGAAAAAATCATTTTCACTTATTTAAGAATAGTCACAATAGTCAATTCAATGGTGTAAGCTTTGTATAAGTAATAAAAGATTAATCTTTTTAAAAATTCTTTTATGAATTCCAAGAAAGAAAAAAAATGTAGTGAAATATCCTTAAAACAACAGTCAACAGTCTAGACCAAGGATGTCAAACTCCCGGGCCGCATGCGGCCCACAACAAATATTTTTGCGCCCCAGCCAAATATCGGCAAATAAATAATATATAATAATAAAATAACATATCGACGAAGAAAAAAATTAAATGTTTACTGCTAAGTAATTAACGATAATTTATTCAGTGTTGTTAGATTACTCACAGCGAGCTGACACACACACACTACTTAAATTACAAATGCGTGTGAGTAGCTTGCCTTCAGCTACCTTCGGATTTTGGGGGAGTAGTAGCTGTAGTTCTAGCGAATTGTTTGTTTACTTAATGCTGTGATTGATTTGTAGTGATTTCGCTGTGAGATAGAATTAGTTTCTCTGTTTTGAATTGATTTTTGCTAAACGTTTAACATTTTGTGATATTGTTAGAATATTTTTGAAGAAATATTTCAGCATTTTGATTTATCTCTTGTGGAAAGAATAAATTTTTGTTAACTTTTTAACGTTAACTGTGTTTATTGCAGCCCTTTGTATTCAGTATGTCTATATCAAAACCAAGTGGTAGTAAAATTAAATGAAAAATCGCTGACGAACATAGAATATTCCAAGTAAAATGGGAATTAGAATATTTTTGCTCTGAAATAAAAGATAAAATAATCTGCTTGATATGTATCAAAGTTATATAATATTAAATGTCATTACGAACAACACAAATTGAAATATAACAGTTACGAAGGATTAATGAGAGAAGAAAAGTTGAAAGAGCTCAAGTTAGGAGTGAAAAAGCAACAGTCCATGTTTAGTAAAGTATTGCAAGAAAGTGAAGCGGTGGTACATGCAAGCTACGTCTTGTTCGAGTTGATAGCTAAACATTCAAAGCCTTTTACTGACCGTGATTTCATCAAGGAATGCCTAATGAAAGCTGGAGAAATTGTTTGTCCTGGAAATGTGAAGGCTTTTCAATCAATTTCATTGTCTCGAAATACAGTTGCGGAAAGAGTTACTGATTTAGCCGCAAATTTAAGTGATCAGATCAAAGCAAAATCATCTAGTTTCAAAAGTTTCTCCATTGCCTGTGACGAGAGCACGGACATTAGTGGCAAAGCTCAATTAGCAGTGTTTCTTCGTTCTTGTGACAAGAATTTTAACATTTTTGAGGAATTACTGGAACTAATACCGATGCCTGGTACTACCACAGGAGAAGATATATTTACTTGTGTTTTTGGACTTCTGCAGAAATACAATCTACCTTTGGCAAAATTAAATTCTGTAGCTACAGATGGCGCTCCATCAATGACTGGGAAAAACAAGGGCTTCGTAGCATTACTAAGAAAAAAACTTAGTGAAATTCATGGTTCAAACATTCATCATATGCATTGTATTATACATCAAGAAGTTCTATGCACGAAAGTAATAAATATGGAGAATGTTTTGTCATATATAAAAAAAGTTATAAATTTTATAAGATCTCGAGGTTTAAATCAGCGTCAATTCACTGCTTTCTTAATGAGTTAGATAGTGAATATTCGGGTTTGTCCTACTATACCACGGTACGTTGGTTATCTTGCTCCAAGATTCTCAAACAATTCTGGGATTTGAAAGAAGAAATATGTCAGTTTTTAAAAACGAAAAATCAAGACGTAAGTTTGTTTTACGATCCAATATGGATACAAGATTTATCTTTCTTGGTTGATGTAACCAAACACTTAACCGATTTAAATTTATCGTTACAAGGAAAAGATCATGTCATTACGAACATGTTTGACATAATTAAAGCATTCAAATGTCAACTAGTCTTTGGGAAAACCAACTTAAAAATGAAGATTTGACGCACTTCCCGATGTGCAGCATGAATAAATCAAGTTTAGATGATACTTGTTCGTATCAAAAATACGCAGAAAAAATTGCAAATTTAACAACTGAATTTGAAACGAGGTTTAATGATTTTAGTTCCCTTGAAAACAATTTTTTTGTTTGTTTGTTTGTTTTCTTCGATTTTCTCAATAAGTATTGACTCAGTACCCAGCCATATGCAAATGGAGGTGATCGAGATTCAATGCAACTCAAATTTGAAAGCAAAATTCATTGAAGTGGACGTGCCTGAATTTTACAAATATTTACCAGCCAGGTTTGAAAATACTTGGAAAATTCGCATATGAAATTATTTCCACGTTTGGTAGCACTTATCGGTGCGAGCAGTTATTTTCAGTCATGAAAGGTAATAAGTCTCCTATTAGAAACCGTATTAATGATGCTCACCTTGGGTCAGCGTTGAAAGTTATCACTGCAAACAAAATTTCTCCCGATATAGGAAAGATAATAGCAGAGAAGAGATGTCAAGTATCAGGACGTAAACATTAAATTTTTCTTGTTCTTTTCTATATAAATATATATATATGTTTATTATTGTATTATTCGAAATAAATCTACGTTTCTATGAATATTGATTTTTTTTTTCGGCCCGCCTAAAGTTAAACCTTGTTTGTTTGGCCCAAGTGTACCTATGAGTTTGACATCCCTGGTCTAGAAAGTTTTGTCTCCTGTTGAAGTTCTGTTCTGTTTTTTAATTACATTCTCCATGAAAGGAATTTACTTTTAATGAAACTAAATAGCACACGTAATTCATAACATGGTCTATAATTTAATGAATAGTATTTGTTATTATTATCCACTCTTTATTACTATCATTTGAATGGAATTTTGATCATTAAATTCATGCTATTTCTCTGGTAGAAATTCC